GAAAAATCACAAGTTTCCTTCCTCATGTTGGTTACGGTCGATCCCAACATAAAGAAATTTCCTATACTCCGCAGTTGTGTCCTAAAACCTTAACCTAAGCTCTGATACCAACTTCGTCACGACCCGACTCCATGGGCCGGACCGGCACTAGGGCCCAGGTAAGCTTAAGGCCCCCAAGGCCCGTAGTAAGCCTGAAACACTAGAATCTATTTTTACTATCTCAATATAATATTAACATTTTCAGTCATATGATTATGAAAAATTAAACCTCAAGATTTTATTAAATCTCGCCTCCAATTTAATCGGCTAACAAACATTCACAGTTCAGGGCCTAAATTAACAACTGCATCAACATTTACAATATGGCTTCACAATAATTATCTCGTCTATAATATAAACGATTAAATTATACAAATCAACTCTTTAGTATACATAGCTTTTTATACACATAATTACATAGTGAAATAATTATAGAACTAGGAAAATTTCTCTATTGCTCTGCGCCGAAGAAACATAGTCTAAACCGGATTAAAGAAAAACTTACTTCCTGAAAAATCAAACAAGACGTGTGAGTTTTCTAAGGAGTAATAATTATTGCACAACACACACAGTCACACAAATGTGTACACATATTAATCTAGTCACCCGACTAGTTATATGCTCACGCAGCCAGTCACACAAATGGCATATCACCAGCACTCACAATCATAAACATCTTCATATAATCACATCACGTGGAAGGTTGGAATTAGTTCAGTGGCGCCACCTGAAACCTCAACGCGCCGTCCTACACATTGGCTCGCCCTCCTCATACATGTGCACCAGGGAAGGCCCCGAATCCCAACCATAGGCCAACTGGTTTAACTCCTCACTGACCAGTCCCTCTCATTTGTATTTCCATCTCTTCTTTTCTTATTCCAGTACCAACAGGAGGCAACCCGGTGGTCTCCATCCAATCTTAGATCATCAAGTGGCTCACAACAGGAGGCCCACATGCGGGCTCAATCAATCTAGATTTATCAGGTGCGCACAACAAGAAGCCATCCTGTGGTTTTCCACATAATCCATATCATCCAGGTGCACACGGGGCGCCGATCTCCCATTTTCTCAGGCCGACGGTCCAAATATCATATAATATTCGGTATCCATACACAAAACCGTCCTCACAAACCACGGTGGGTCCTTCATCCCAATTCCACACAAAACAAAGGCATAGTCATTAATCACAAACAAATTAATCAAACATTGCCAATCAAAAATTGCAGACATATTAATCAAATTAAACATCGTAAATCTGCAATGCACAATTAGACATCCATACTCAATGCAAATAAATAAATAAATAGTATTAACAATAATCAACAATAATAAAATAAATAATAATAAACAATAATAAGGAAAATAAATAATTGAATAATTAAATGAATAATAATAAAATAATTAGAGAATTTTATTTATTATATATCAATTTAAAGGATCCATTTGAATAAACCTATTAATCATGTTATTAATTAAGACTAATCTAGATTCTATCGAAATTTCGACAGAACTTCCCCATTTCGGCAGCATCTCCCCTAAAAATTGGACTATCCACCTGTTTAGATAACACAATATTATTCTATATTTGTCAATCAATACACACAGCCCATCCGTCGGGCAATCAATCAATTTAAAATCCCATCCTCCTTCCATAACAACAATATCAACACCCAACAAAAAAAATTTACATATTTAATTCTAATAATATCCATATAAGATCATTTATTAAGTCATTAGTTAATTAAATTATTAGCTTTACGGTAACTAATTCGTTAAGCAGCTAAAAACATATTTTAACAATAACTAATTATAACTACTGCCTATTAAAATTCGATTTTTATATCAATATCGAAAATGGCTAGGCCTCCCAAATCTTAATTTATCAAAATTTCGATTCTAACCGTTAACCAACTAAAATTCGCCTTACTACTCTTATGCACAATCGGCTAGTTTTAAACTAATGGTTATCTAATTGACTAACTAACTAATTCTAATTTATTTTCTCCTCAAATCACCTAATTATAATAATAATCATGTAATTTATTTGACAATGTTCTAAACTAATTTACAATTACATTATTCTAAAATCCTAAACCAGTTAACCAGTTAAACAATCATGTTCGCTATCCAACTAACGCACACCTAATCAATCTATTTATTACAAAAGAACTATAAATGTTCTATATTTTTAAGTTAATCCATAAGTTAATTTAAGCTATTCCAATAATTTAATTTCTTATTATTCAATTCAATCTATTTAATAACCCAATTAAATTCATTAATCAATTAGCTCTTTATATACAAAAAAAAATTGAGAATTTTGTCTTAGAACGTACCAATTGAGAATCGAGCGACGATTCCGTGATCAGCTTGAAGAGAGGAATATTTTGTCCCTCAGGGCCTCGCCGGAGTGTTGCCGGACCGCTACCGCCAGCTGCCGTACACGGTGGTCGGAAAATCGAACTTGCCCGAAACTGAGCACTCTTTACACCATTAGACTCGTTTTTCTGCCAGGAGTCCGATTCCGGCGTCGGTTGAGCGAGATCAGTTCCTCTCATTGGTTGAAATGGCTCACCAGGGCATAGAGCCACCACCAACGTTGCTGCCAATCCATGGAAGAGAGTCGCACTCGCCTGAATCGCAAGTCGGAGACGGAGAGAGTGAGATCAAGCGTGATCTGTGGCGGACTCGACTCGATGGCGCTGAGTTGTGGCGCTGCTGTTGCGATCGAAGAAAGAGGGAGGAGGGGCTGTTGCGATCGCAGCTTCCAGCGACAGCCTTTCGCATCAGAGTTGAACGGAGAGGTGATGTGACAAGACCGGACTTGCAGCGGCGAGGAGACATCGACGAGAAGCTCAGGTGGCTGGATCGGGAGGGGGAGGAGTCGCGTGACTGCCGAAGAAAAAGGAGGAAAAGAAAAGAAAAGAAGGAAAAAGAAAATTCTAGGACATTCCAGTTTGATTCGAATCGGTTCGGTCCGATTTAGTGATTTGGTCTCATTTTGTTTGGTTTGCAGGTTTTTCACTCGGTTTTCCGGATTATTCGTGTGGTTTTCGATTTTTTTTTTTTCAAGCTGTTTGTGTGGGTTTCGAAAAAGGTCAATTTGGTTTTAAAGTCCAGTTCGATTTATTTTAATTTTTTAGTTTGGTTCCATAATATTTCTCCATTTACTCAATATTAATAATAAAAATTTAATAGTTACAATATTTTGGTTTTTAAGATAATTATTCATACATATTCATAATTAAGTTAAATTAGGGGGTTTCGTATTATTTCTCAAAAATTTTAATCATTCTCAATCGACATTCCGATGATTGTATTGGGCTTAGGCCCAACTGCACAAACTTGGCTCGAATTGAGATTGTTCGAATTGAGATTGTTTGATATATATATAGCCCAAATAGTTGAAAGTCGATATTTTTGATTTATTAAAAATTCGAAAGTTTTCGAAAATAAAAATTCGGGGTGTTTCATTAAGGGTATGATTGAAATGGATTTGGCCAATGTGCACTAAAAATAAAATAATCTTCAGATGTGTAAATAAGTTCAAAACAGTCTAATCAGAGTCAAACAGGAGTAAATAGAAAAGCAATATGTTTCTGACTTTAACATGAAAATGCAAGATGCATGATTTTCTTTATTTTGTACATCTTTACCCTAATTTATAGACATTTGGGAGAGAGGTACAAAAGATGGGAAAAGGACATATGCAATAGGACATACACTTCATTCAAAGGTAGTTTTAGTGAAAGCAAGAGCTTTCTAAAAAGACGTTTTTTAAATTAAAAAAAAAAAAATTGTAATAGGAAAATTTGCCTCTCTTACCCACATATACCCCAAAATGATGGGGAGTTATTTTAAAAGAGCCAAGTATTACAATGTTAGTGCCTTTAACTAAATTCTTTAATTAGTGCAAAAAAAAAAAAAAAAAAAAAAAAAAAAAAAACAACAAAAAAACCAACAAGTCTATTTAAGTACAATTAGCTGTTTAATAAACTATTAACTGTTTTTAATAGCGTTTAAAGCTAAAATAGTTGTTTGAGTAACTATGAAAAATGTTAAAAGTTTTAAAGCTAAATGAATTATGAGTTAAGCTTTTTTAATAATAATATTTTAATCTCGTAAAAGTTAGTTCAAACCGTTATGTTTTATCAACATACTATAAAAAAAAAAAAAAAAAAAAAAAAAAACCAACAGTCTATTTAATAAAATTAGCTGTTTTAATAACTATTAACTGTTTTAATAGCGTTTAAAGCTAAATAGTTGTTTGAGTAACTTATGAAATGTTAAAAGTTAAAGCTAAATGATATTATGAGTTAGCTTTTTATAAAATAATATTTTAATCTCTAAAAGTTAGTTCAAACGTTATGTTATCAAATACTATAAAAATTAGCGTTTAACGTTTTAATCAGAACTACTTAAAAAACTGTTACTCAACACGGTCTTGATTTTTTTAAGTGAAAAAAAAAAAGATAGTTAAAGAATCTACTTCCAATTAATAATTCAAGCTTTCCAACTTATACTTAACCATCCCAATTGCCTTTTAGACACCTTCTTTGTAGTTAGTGTCACTAATTCTCATTTCTCAATCAAGATTTCCTTTACACATAAGAATTTGTATTTAGTGTCCTTAATTCTCTATCAACTTCTTCTTTACACATAAGAAACAGGGTGTTAGTATGATTTCAAGGGCCCTACAACCCCAACCAAGCTTAACCACCAAAAGAAAAATCACAAAGCACTATGAAACTTACACAGTGGGGATTTCAGAAGTATCAAGGCATTGACAAGTGTCAAATTGGTTGAGTTGTACAAAGCTTTCATAGTCAAAATATATTTTTCATTTGAATTTTTAAGTTCTAACCAATAAAAATTTGCCACATTGTTTATAATGTTATTGTCTTTTTGTATATAAGTACATCCATGTCAAAAACCCTAAAATCTAAATTAACCTTGCCAAGTATATCATTAATCACCATCTAATAAGCCAAATTCCCAAGTCCCAAATCTAACTTTACACATAAGAAAAATAAAGAGAGACAAAGAAGGAGGACCTACTAACAACTAAGTATTAAATTGCTAACATACACTTTTAAACCAAACTTAAAAGATTCAAAAGTACCATATAAAGGCTAACACACAGTCCCACTAAAATGAAACCCTCCAAAACCCCCCAAATGCCTCTCTTATTTAATTTTTACCCTAGCTGTTAGAATTTTTTACCACTCATATCTACATACATTACAAAAATTTTACCCCATAGACTTATACAAGAAGTATAAGTTTCATGTGCTAATGCCACCATTTGTTGCCAATTTTTCACATAATTGAGCATGCATTTGGATTTTCATCACTAAAAATCTCGAATGAATCCAACGGCTGTGATGGGTTTGATTCGAAATCCAACGCTGGAGGTTCGCTTGCAAATCCCGGTTGCATATACGCGTATGAATACGATGGAGGGTTGATTGATGCACCGTAGCTAGTACTGGGATACGCTGTATTGTAGTTCACAGCATACGCGGGCGGAGGTGTATAGTAATGTGATGGGTATTGATATACATGATGATGTGGCAGGCTGTGATTGGTAGAATAGGGAACAGGCCCAATTGGGCCTTGACCATGACCATGTATAGGTGATCCAGTGCCTGCAGGTACATCACTAGAATGTTCGCCCTCACCAGCGTTGTTATTATTCCCTTTATGCCCTTTCTTTTTCTTCTTTTTGCCACCATTACCACTTTTCTCAGCACCACCCTCATTCTCGCTACCGATTTTCTTTTCAGTAACCGGTGACTGGGTACCGGCCGGGCAGGTCACAGGTTGTTTCATCTCAATCTTGACCTCCTTGACTTGTCCACCACCGGTTTTACTGGTTGCACCGGCTTCTTTACTTTTCCCAACATCAACGTTAGACTCAACGGCCCCATTTTTTGTGGTGGTTCCACCGTTTTTATTGGCGGTTCCATTTTCATTAGGTTTTGAAGGATCTTGAACGATAAGTACTTCAGTTTTAACAGTTTCTTTATTTTTTTCACCTCCTTCTTCACCACTTTCTTGGTCGCTTTGCTGTTTTTCTTTTTCTTTTTCTTTATCTTTGTTTTTTGATTTTCCTTTCTTTTTGTGGTCAGCCTTTTCAGGCCATAGCTCTGCATGTTTCCCTGCCTTCACCAGCTTCTTGATCAAAGTGTCTGCATCTACATTTCCCAATACTGTTACCTTCTGTTGTTTCAAATCAATATCTGTTTTGTAAACACCTGCAAAGAATGTACAAACTTAGCAAGAACAAAGATATAATATTGTAGAATTTTTTTAAAAAATCATTAACAAAAGCCAGATAAATTAAGTTAAAGGCAAAGAAGTGTGCAGTTAAAGAAAATGAATAAAACTATTGGAATATATTCTTATGGGGAATCCCACATTGATTGGCTAGAAATAAATGGTTTATTCCAAGAAAAAAACCATATCAAATTGACTTACATAGCACATAAGCAAGCTTAATTCACTTTAAACCTAATTATTAAATGAATGTTGTTAATGAATTTGATTAATTGATTGTAGAACCCCGGATTTAACAAAAACCAAGAAATTAACAAATAGATGTTGGTTGAGCTAAATAATCTCCATTAACAGTGATAGCTTTGAAGAAAACTTGGAAAGAAAAACCCATATGACAAAAAATGGGGTAGCCATGAAATTCTGATAAGAGATTAAAGAAAAGAACCAAAAAGAAAAAAGAAAATAAGATTTTGGTGGGCACCTTCAATGTTTGTTAGGATTTTTTTGACTTTCCTTTTGCAGCCCTCACAATGAACAGAAACTTTCAAGACCAATGTCTGCAAAACATTAAAAAGTCAGGTTTAAAATATCTAGAAGATGAAAATTTTGTCAAGAAACACTGGGGTTGAGTTAATTTATATATATATATATATATATGTAAGACCTGCAAGCTTTATCTTTTACCTTGTATTTGAGTGGTGGTTCTTGTTGTTCTTCTACAACTACTTCTTTATTACCTTCTGCAGGTTTCTGTTCAGTAGTTTTGGCTTCTGGTTTTCCTTCCGTCGCCATTAGAGGTGGGTGAAGATGAGATAGAGAGTGAAAGAGAGTCAAAGAAAGAATGTAAAAGAATGCTTAAGAAGAAGGGAAGTGAGATAGGGCTTGAAGAGAGACAGAAAGAGAGAGGAAAAGAAAGATATACAAGTAGTAGGGCCTAGTGCTTGATGGGGTGGCAATAGTAATAGTGTACTAATATAAAAATTCTCGTACAATTTTTTTAAACTGGCTTTTCCTTTTAGTGGGTGCCTATCAATTTGGCATTTGATGCCTTTATATAATTTTTTGTACTATAAATATTATTATAAACATATATCAATTCAAAAGAGACTACAAATATTTGCTCTTAACATCCAAGAAATGAAGATCACAGTGCATTTGATACTTTTTGCTTCATGCTTTTTAGTTAGCTAATGAAAGGTACTAATTAAGATTACAAATATTGGATTTTTATTTTAATAATTGCAAATTAAATAAATAACTAATATATGAAGATTATGAATGTATTTGGATATATAATATTTTGAAGAAAGTTCACTGTCAGCTTCCTATGATTGAAAAAAGAAAATGAAAAATAAGAAGAATAGAATATATACGATACATTTAATCAGTTGATTATCATAATTTTTTTTCTAAATATAATTTTTGTTTTTGAATTTTTTTTATGTTCATAATTTTCCTTCTTACCATATGCTAGGAAAAGAAAAGAAAAGACAAAAGGGAAATAGAGCATGTACGTTCTCTTAAATTTCCATGAAATGTAAGTAAATTACTTAAAAGCATGGCAATAGGAAAGCAATTACTTCATTTTTAAGTTATTTGTAAACTTTATTAACTTAAGTAGAATTTTCATTTATGCTAAACATAAAAATTAAGATTTAAAAATAATTTTTTTTGTGAAATTTATATAAACCAAACAAGTTTTTGGAAAATAGGAGTTATATTTCCACACGTATTGACAAGCTTTTCCAACTATCCATATTTACTAGGAAAATGCATTAATATAAGGGAGAATTTGTATTTAGTATTTGAGCTTTCACTCTAATTACTACTTAGGTCTTTTTTTTTTTCCCTAAATAATATATTAAATCATCTTTATACTTTTCTTTACCTGCAAAACTATTTAATTATTCTGTTAAAAATACTATTTTTGTTATTAAATATTAATAAAGACAAAAATACTTCATAATATCTAATTATTTCATTTAATATAACATTATTATTTATTCACTTATATTTCCTATTTTTATTTGGCATTTTATGACTAAAATATGTCTTCTTAAATAAAATAATTTATTAATTTATTGAGTATTTGATGCACAAAGCAAACAACCTATTCACCAAAAAGAATGGATTAAATAATACATAAATAGGATCAAATTTCAGGGACTAAATAGTCATTCTCCCTTAATGTAAGACTCGCGTGACAGTAGTTAAAAATTTAAATGCTATACATAATTTTGGATTTTTAATATCAATGTATCACAAAGAAATTACATTTTTACTGTAAACAAGAAATAATATTATTCTCTCTGTAACTGTACTTCTCAAATAAGGAAAAAAAAAATAATCAACAAAAAGAAATTACAAATTTCAATCTAGAAAATCCGAACATGAAATTTTAACCTAACAATAACCAGCTTATATTACATTTCAAGAAAAGAATATATATATAAAAAAAATTAGAAATTCTCTTTATGGAAGTCAAACTTGGTAGTAGTTTTCCTTGAAAAGTCATGAGCTAGCCTTGTCAACTCTCCGGTCAATCCAGGTGCACCGCAGTAAAACACTCCTGCAATAAAAAACCATATATATACCCTTCAATTAGCTTAAAATTAATTAATTAATTAATTAATGGAAAAAAAATCTGAAATAAGGCAATTAATTACTTACCAACTCTTTGATCAGGGTAATTAACAGCTACATGCTTGAAAACTTTCCGCCAATTAGGTCTAGCAAAATGAGTCTTAACACGAGTTTCAGAGACTACATCAACACCATTTTTTGCATGTTGAAGAGATTGAAGCATGGTGATCAAAGCGGATCGAGCATCTCCTTCTTCATAAACACTAGTACAGTAATTATGAAGTTCGATTACTCTATCTTGATCGTAATCCGCCACTTCATTCATTACACCTCTAAACCACTCGAACGAGCCTTGTTCGCGAGTGACCCAGTAAAAATAAGCATGTTTAGTAGCAAAAGGTTTTCTTTTATTACCCTTAATGCCACTTTCTACTATCCCTTCTTCTAGATCTTTTTGTTGCTTAATGTTGTTAAGCACGTCTTTAATTATGCTAATCAATGGGGTGGCTCCAATGCCAAGCCCAACAAGGAGGAGAACATCGTATTTTTTGTAGTCCTGTGCTGGGGCTCCATAGGGCCCATCAATTAAGAGCTTTGGCAACCTGTTAAAATGCATCATTAATATTTTATTATATAAATAAAATTTTAAATAATATTGTGGAAAAATTAGGAGAAAATTACGCACTTAGGCTTGTTATCACTGCTTGCTATATCAGCTCTAAGAAGGCCGCTTTGATTGCTTGATGCAGGCTGACAGACCTAAAATTAATGGTACCAAATTATATAACTAGAGAAGGGAAATTTGCAAAATTTTGAAGGAATTGGTATAATTTAAAAAAAAAAAAAATGTACCTTAGAGAAAACAGTTTTTAGCTGCGATGTCCAGTCACCCAAAGTACGAATATGGATGCTCAAATAATCATCTCCAGGAGCAGAAGTTATTGAAAATGGATGCCTGAAATTAGCACACATAAATAACACCTTAAACCATCAATTCTTGACTATAAATTTATATAATTTTTGTTAATTTAATAGCTAATTGAACAATTAACTTACCATTCAAATGGGGAAACAGCTGCACAATTCACAAATATATATTGCCCACTAGTGTACCTAAATCCTTGAGGTTTGGACATGTGCAGTGATAGTACATTTCCTGGGTATACTGCTACCTGAATTTTGGAGATTAATGAGACTTTATTAGTATGATTTCTCGTATTAAATTACTGAAGATTACACGTTGTATAGTTGAAGAAAATACCTTTAAAATCCTTACTGATGATTTATAGCCCGACCTAAATGCACGAATCAAACGTTCACACGCGTATAATCCCATTGGAATAGCCAGATACATCCATGTCTAATTATCAACATTGCAAAAATTAATACAGTCTATTAATTAACAAGTGTTAAATTAACAGAATAAAGTGAAATGATTTTAAGAAATTACTTACCGTTTTCTTGTACCATTTCTTGGAGAGGTAAAGATAGTATCCATGAACAATGAAGAGCGCGTAGACAATAACAAATAAGTGATGAGAGTACCAAAATGCATTAAATCCGGTGAGTTTTTTCAGGGTTTTAGGGAGGTTTAGTCTATTACGGCGGAACCAAGGTTGGGCTAATGTATAAGCTATAGCCATTAGCACCACCATCACCACACCAGTCCAACCTTCAGTTCCTTTGACGAACCACCAGTAGTTATTTGGTCGGTCATCGCCAAAAAATGGCTTCATTGGCTCGTATTCTTCATCGGTGGCGTGCAGTAGCCTGGGAAAGTCGCATGTTAAATGTGCTCCGGCGTGTAACCCAACTCCAATAGCTATCCCAAATGCAATTACCTATACATCAAGGTCAGTCTTGTTAGTTTATTGATTAGCTCAGCATTTTCGCGAGATGGGTATTATCATATACCTTATGGAAGTTGATATTATCGTCGAAAGGAACGATCACCCCTAATTTGGTGTTGCTTCTAAGCCAAGTGATGGTATTTCTACAAACAGGTAAAAGAATTAATGCCATGTTAAACTTAGTAGTCTCTGCAGCGCCCTTAGCTGTGGTGACACAATAGCCCATGACATCGAAAACGGCTCGATGCTTATATTGGATGAATTTCCATGTGAAGAGACCAGCACAAATTCCAAGCCACAATGCCATCACCCAGATTCTCTTCCAGTTGTCCTCAATGAAGTAGGCTAATCCCTTATAACCTCTCTTAATTGGATTCTGCTCTTTGGTTGGCACAAGCTTTTGGCTTAGTACTTGGCTTAAAATTCGACTATCTGTTACAAGGTTTGTTGATTGGCTTGGAGCTTGGAGAAGTAGCATTTCCAAGTTGTATAGCTGCATCAACACAGAGAAAGACAATTCTTAGATTCAATGGCTTATCTAAAAATGGGTTCGTTTTATTACGATCCATTGACCCATTTGGATTGGGCTAAAGTTGAGTTTAGTTCATTATTCCAAGTGGGCAAGTTTTAGTCGAAGAAAGAAAAAGTGGTGTTTGCATACAAACCTCAATGTATCCAAGGTTGTCTGGATCTAGTTCTTCCATGATCAGAGCAGCATATTCCTCTGCACGGTCTTGAATCTTTGATAACTTATTAGCTGAAGCACTCAAAGCAATAATCTGAAAAATCAAGAAAATGAAAAGGTTAGCCTTTTCTTTGTAAAGGATATAATCACATATACACCATAAGGAATGTACTTCAAAATATTTCTTATTTTACCTCTAGCACTTCCTCCTCTGTGATCCTTCCATCTGCATTTTTGTCCACCCTGCATTTTGTACATTTTTTGTTAAAATGATTAGCGACACTTGAAATTTTATTTCAATCGTTTCATTAAAGAAAATGATTAATAAATTAGCTAAACAACTGTTATGGTTTCCTAGCCATGTGAACAAGATTTGGTTTTGATTCCTTGGAAAAATGTTAACTAAAACTAAAATATTAGCTATGAAGCTGTGGTAGATTATTGTAAGTTAATAATATCAGAGATTAATTAGTATATTTTAGTTATTTTCAGAACCCATTAATTTATATATTTTTTTAATAAAAAATTGCTTAAATCCTTACATGTCAAAGAAAGTCTGAAGCCTAGCATCAAATCCCTGGTCAGTAATTTGTTCCCAGAATTCACGCAATTCGGCTTTGCTTATTGAAGCTGAAACTATCCCTTTTCTTCGAGCCAATGCGTCAAACAATTCAAAAGCAAATTCACTCGACTCATTCATCCCTATACATTGAGCAAACCGAGTTTTGGGCAGAGCACCGTCAATGGATAATTTATCAAACCTTGCTTCCACTTCAGACCAACCTTCAGTTCCCACATTTTTGGTCATGAACTTGAGCCCTTTCAAAGCACGAGCAGCTCCTGATTTACTTCTATCAACTTTATCAAAAGCATTGGAAGATGTGATTTTCTTGAGCTCCTGTGAAACTTGCCTCAGTCGAAACGAGAGCTGAGATCCTAGTGAAGGACGATGATGATGCTTCTTCTCCAGTTGGCTCGCTAGAAACGTTGTTTCTGAATCTCCTCCCTTTATGTTCTGCACCAAAACGGCATCATCTCGTACGTCTAGTGTTATTTCTACGTATTCTTGGTCTTCTTTGAATCTTGCACTTTTCTTGCTGGTTTTGTTGTTACTCACTAAAGGACCGCTCATCGGACCGCTATAGCCGGCTCTTCTGCTGCTGCTATTGCTCTCTGACTCGGAATACCAGGTTTCGCGTTGATTTTCTCGATTAATCTCCATTTCTTGGTCCTGTCTTCTTGCTAATTCCCTGGAGTAGTCTTGAAATTATTGTGCTCGTTCTCCTGAAATAATCAAGAACTCAGATATTATTCAGTTATGTATAACATGGTGACTCCAGAGAAACATGTTAAGACAGCTTGCTTGTGACTAATAAGACAATAACGCACTATGGGATTATGTCTTACGCAAGGGCTCGTGAACCTGTTGACCTAAAAATAGTTTGATTGTGATTTAATTGTGCCTTTCCAAATTAAATACTAGGAAATGGAAAATCATGCTAATTATATATATTCCTGAAATAATCAAGAACTCAGATATTATTAGTTTATGTATTAACATGGTGACTCCCAGAGAAAGCATGTTAAGACAGCTTGCTGTGACTAATAAGACAATAACGCAATATGGGATTATGTCTTTAAACGCAAGGGCTCGTGAACTCTGTTGACCTAAAAAAAATAGTTTGATTGTGATTTAATTGGTGCCTTTTCCAAATTAAAATACTATACTGGAAATGGAAAATCATGCTAATTATATCATATATATATTATATATATATATATATATATATATATATATATATATAGTTTTTCCTTATTCTTTCTATATATATAGTTTTCCTTATTCTTTCTAAAAGTAAATTCCAATCATAATAAAGTAATGTATGCTACATAAAATAATTAGAGAGGGAACCAGGTGGGTGATTATAGAGGGCCACCGCCCCTCAAAAATTGGCATTTCAATTATCTAACTCAAAAACTCTCGCATTGGAACCAAATTTCGATGGAAAATACAAAAAAACTTGCAAAAGAACAAAAAAACAGAAGACTAAGAACTTGATGTTGAAAATTGAATCTCACCAGGGAAAATTTTTCTTTGTTTGTAAGAGGCCAGTAAAGATATAATGAAGGTGTGTAGAGAAAGAAAGAAGAGAAGTTTGCAAGAAAGCAAAATGCAATTAAGAAAGTGATTAGTAGTTTGAGTAGCTCAAGAAGAATGGGAAGGGAGTATATATATATACATATTGAAGAGGTGGCGGTGAGTGGATGATTGATATAAGAGAGAAGTCAAAAGCAGAGAAATCCAGGGGGCGCATTCACGCGTTGTTTCGACTTTCAAGTGTTAGTTATATTCTGTAGTGGGTTAGACTTATTAGGTGTTTAGTTTATACTCTTTCAATTATCCAAACATCACCAACCCAATTCTGTTCAAACAAGAAATAGTACCTTCCACGACATTTAACCAATTAGGATAAAATTCCCAAAAAAAAAGATAAAAATTATTGGGCAGGTTAATGATTAATAGATAATTTGGTAGGATAAATTCTTTAAATTTTCCAATAATAGATATAATTTAAGAACTTCCCGTTAAAAACGTTCTCAATTATTTTAATTATAAATTTAAATGAAAAATTTTAATTTATTCTTTACTATATTCTCAAGATGAATGATGTATTGAAAATTAGGTGGATAATCAAACATGGTGCCTGTTCATTGGCATGAGATTTTTTTCAGATGTCATCCTTTGCTGTTACTACGTACAAAAGTCTGCTTAATGTGAACATAAAAAAATAAATTAAAAAATTTCAGATAATGTAATAGTAAATAAGTAATCGGGTCAAAATGTCTCATCCAAGGCCTCAGGAAAATATCTACAAGTAATAATAGAAACTAGAAAGCATGATCAACTTGAAAAGAGCATCGATTGGTTAGTCCATACAATTTTTGGTAATCATAGGATTAACTTATCTAATTTTATTAAGATATATATATTTTTAAATCATCGGTATTCAGACTCTATTATCAGGGATTGCTTAATTTAACTCGGTGGCTTAGTCAATATCCAGACCCTATTATATATTTTTTAAAATTTATTTTAATTAGACGGAATTAAAGGTCAGAGATCAGTTATATATTATATAAAACGTCAGTGATTACTTGGATAATTATGGTATACCTGAAGGACTAAATAATTATTTTTTCAAAAAAAAAAAAAAAAAAAAAAAAATACCGAAGGACTAGAATAATTATTTTTCAAAAAAAAAAAAAAAAAAAAAAAAAAAAAGTTGAGGGTGTCTTTTCAAAAGTAGCCACTTGGAAGAAAGAAATAAGAGGTTAACCCTGTTTTCGTAAAATCAAGCCCATTTTGCAGCTCTTGATTACCCAAACCCAGTCAAGTTGAAGGCACAAAACACATACCACTCTCTCATTTGATGTTTTTGCAGTTCACGAAGAAGGAAGAAGAAGAAGAAGACAATATGGAAAAAACCGAAGAATAAGTCGAAAACGAGTGAAAAATCTTCCAGCACGTGTTTGCTTCTACCATGCCGTTCTGTTGCTTAAATGCACTGCAAATATATTGTAGCATTGGCACATTCGAAAGACTACTCATTATTGTTTTGGTTAGTTTGATATTGGCAATTTCTTTTTTCTTTTTAAATTTCATTTAAATTGCTATTTAATTAATCCGTCGTATCTGAATAGTTAAAATATACACTACCACTAAAACTGTATCTTGGTGTGATGAAGGAAAATAAATTTAAAGAAAAAGAAATAAAAATAAAATTGCATAGAAAAAATTATTATTATTCAGTATCAATGCGAATTAATTATAAATAAAACAATCTTTCAAAAAAAATTATAAATAAAACAAATCAGCGACTGATATTCCAAAATTTCAATAAAAATTGTAAAATGAGTTAAAAAAAAAAAAAAAAAAAAAAAAAAGGAGTTGGGGGTGTCTTCGAAAAGTAGCCACTTGAAGAAAGAAAATAAGTTTACCCTGTTTTCGTAAAATCAGCCATTGCAGCCTCTTGATTTAACCCAAACCAGTCAAAGTTGAAGGCACAAACACATACACTCTCTCATTTGATTTTTGCGGAAGTTCACGAAGAAGAAGAAGAAGAAGAAGACAATATGGAAAAAGAACGAAGAATAAGTCGAAAACGAGTGAAAAATCTTCCAGCACGTGATTTGCTTCTCCATGCGTTCTGTCTAAATGCACTGCAAATATATGTAGCATTGGCACATCAAGACTACTCATATTGTTTGGTTTGATATGGCAATTTCTTTTTTTCTTTTTAAATTTCATTAAATTGCTATTTAATTAATCCGTCGTATCTTAATAGTTAAATATACACTTACCACTAAAACTGTATCTTGGTGTGATGAAGAAAATAACATTTAAAGAAAAAGAAATAAAAATAAAATTGCATAGAAAAAAATTATTATTTATTCATATCAATGCGAATTTAATTATAAATAAAACAATCTTTCAAAAAAAATTATAAATAAAACAAATCAGCGACTATATTCAATTTCAATAAATTTAAAATTGAGGTTTAACAGGGTAGTATTGTAAATTAATAAAATTATCAAGTGATTTTGCCAAATAGAAATAATGTGGTAATAATTTTAATTAAAACTCAGACACCAAATACTTAATTGTCCAATCAGTTATTAGTGACAAAGACCTGTGTTTGAAACCCCAAAAAAAAAACCCTAACAGATCAAAATTGTTCAACTGAAAGCCCAAGTCCAGGCCCTTTACTCTGGTATTGGATGTTGTGAATGGGCTTAATGACAACACTTTAATAATCAATGGGATTAGGCATTTTGGTCCTAGTAGCAGTCTACTATACTAAACTACTAAGCTGTCTTTCTTTCTGCCTTGTCTAAGATTCAAAATTTGACCAGCCAGCCACCAGTTTCCACTTTTTAACATAAATAGCCTTAAACAAGTTTCTTAAAAAAGCCAAAATCATAAATCAACTTCAGGAAAAAAGAGTACAAAATTTTGCCCTTTCACTAATAAAATCACAAGCTAAGCCAAAAGCCTCAATCCTCTTTATATGGGCATTGATGTAGTTGGCTAATCTCTCCCCAGTGTGGTTCGGTATGAGACATAGCAAAAGCCTGATTTCTTACTTCAAGACTCTTAAAACATCAACTTTAGTTCTACCAAACCTAAGATACTAGATTTTGAACCTGAAAGCAACTATAATCAACTAGCAATAAAAAAGATAGTGATAAAAGCTACTAATCTTAGTACAAAATCTAATATAATTCAAGATCAAGGTTCTTTTCCCTCCTAGATATATGCTGTTTTTAGTTTCTCAATGGAAGGTCAGATACTTGCACACGAGAAAGTGATGGACCATTTCTCTCTCTCTCTCAATTCAATAATAGGGGTTGGAGAAATTTCCACCAACACCCTCTTGATAGGTGAGTAAATCCAACCAAACTGGGGCCCTCATGCAAGCTTTTTCATGGGTATTTAGCAACTAAAGCTAATATTCAACTGCAAAACCCATGACCCAAATTTGAGGTTCTAAAGATTTTAGTGTCTCTAAAGCTGAGGAAAATAAAGAAGATGATAAGTTTCACAAAGGGTGAACAACAAAAAAACAAGAATCAACGAGTCAGCTTTTCGCTAACAAATAGCATAATAAGAAAGTAAGTTATAAGACAGGGAATCAAGTCAAAGAAAATAAAAGACAGTGTCCTAAGGACAAATTGTGAGGTACATTAACAGTGATTTGCAGGGAATTTATGGAGGTGAGAAGAGATAAGAGTGTACATGAATAATAGAGAAGTAAAGAAGGGCTACTTCAACTTCAACTGCCATGGTCAGGGATTCCTTGGAGTAGCATTAAAGACTCTCAAATACATGTTCTCCCTTACACATCACCTACATCTCCCAAAAAAATAAGACTCTCTAGGAAAAAAAAAAAAAAAAGAAAGGAGAATGTGAACAAAAATGAACCAGATTTATAAGCAGAAAGTTATTTGATTCTCTGATGATTTCTAATTGAAGAACATGGGCTCTTCTTCTTCTTCTCAGATTCCCCACACGATGATTTTCTTCATCATTATAACCATTTTCTTGTTTTTATCATTACAAAGTACCCACATTTTGGTTGCAGCAGAGTACTTTAAAGTTCACAGCCCAGAAAGGTTGGATTTCATTGAAGATGGTCAAGACAACAAGCATATTCAAAAAGTTTCAGGAGAAGACGAAAATGAAGATAAAGAAACTTTAATATTACAAAAGTTTAGAGCTTTACTTGGACTAAGGCGCTCCCAAACAACAAACTCACCAGACGAGTTTCTGTCACCAGCATCTTCTCCTTCAGTCACCATAGAACTTGAGGCTCCAGCTCCTGCTCCTGCTCCTGCTTCAGTTTTACCATTCCTTGCACATTCTCATTCTCCATCACATCACGCCAATTCAATCCCACCAGAACACATGATTCTAAAGAAGCACAAAGATAATGCCAGATTTAGAAAAATTCTTGCAGCAGTTCTTGTTTCAGCAGCTGCTGCTTCAATTTTTTGTGCTCTTGGGCTCATGTGGGCCTCTGGAATATTCAGAAAGAACAAAAGAATATCTGCAAAAATGGTGTCGGTGTATAGGAAGAAGAGAAGAACCAAAAGTATATCTAAGTATTTATGTTCCCAAAAGTCTGCGAGCAAGGTGAGCTTAAATCAGGGTCTTGATCTTTTGTATCTTGATTCACTAGAAAGGGATTTAGAGCAACATAATACTTGTCTTAAACAAACTCCTGAAATATTGACTCCATCACCAAATCATACCACAACAAAATCTACATTCCTTGGGAGGGATGAATCAAACCAAGAACTGATAGTAATATCAGAATTTGACAATGTTAGTAGTTCTTCGACCAGAGAAATTAAGTCTGTCCATGACGATTTAGAATCTGCTAAATATGAATCTGATGGTGGAAACTCTTCTTCTGGGGAAAAAATTATTCCCATGGAAGGTCATTCGTCGGATGATGAATCTTTTCATTCTTTTGTTGATTCGTATTCATCTAATATCCGGCTTTCCAATGCTTCAGCTGGTAGTCTAACTGATATATCAGAAATTTCCCCTTCATATGTGCCAAAGTCGTTACCGTCTCCTCTGATGACTTCTTTCTCAAATCCCCAATCTCCAAAAAATCTGAAAGCTGAAAATGTGTCAGTTTCCCCTCCTTCAGATTCTGATAAGAATCTTGCACTGCCACTACCTCCACCCCCACCACCTCCGCCTCCACCTCCTATGGCACCAAGTACACGCTTCCTACCTTTGCGAACATCTTCCTCCTCTACCAGAATTACATCTAAAGGTACATGTTCATCTCCAATGTCAAGTATATCATCTCCTAGGAAGTCAGATTCTTCTTCAGGATCAAACCATAACCAGGCACCTCGGAGTAACTTGTCTTCATCCCCCAAGAAATCTCCCAATACCTTACGAGCTCCATCAAGCATCCCTATTCCACCATGTCCACCTCCATTTATGCCAGGAAATAGTAGCTCCACCAAAGGCCCACCTCCTCCACCATGCCCACCTCCATTTTTGCTAGGAAATAGTAGCTCTGCCAAAGGCTCACCTCCTCTACCATGCCCACCTCCATTTCTACAAGCAACTAATAGTTCTGCCAAAGGACCACCTCCTCCACCACCTCCATTTATAAAAGGAAATAGTAGCTCTACCACAGGTCCACCTCCTCCGCCATCTCATCTTCCTCAATATGCACCATTGGGCAAAGATGGAGCCCCATTGCCAAAATTGAAGCCCCTTCATTGGGACAAAGTTAGAGCTGCACCTGATCGTAATATGGTGTGGGACAAGATAAGATCAAGCTCATTTGAGTAAGTCCTGCCTTATGAATTATGATATAAACTTGTATTCCAATCTCCTGCTTGCACTTTAACAATCTGTGATTTGCTCATCAGGTTAGATGAGGAGATGATAGAATCACTTTTTGGATACAACTTACATAATACAATGAAGAATGATGAAGCAAAGAGCAAAAGCCCCTCTCCGAGCAAGCATGTCCTAGAGCCCAAAAGACTACAGAACTTAACCATACTCTCAAAAGCTTTGAATTCAACTCCTGAGCAAGTGTGTGAGGCACTAATAAGAGGTATGACTCAGAAATCTTCACAGTATTATATTCACAGTTACAACCAATTAAGAGCAGCAAACCTGAAACTATATTTATTTGAATTGTGGAATGTAGGGGATGGATTGTCTTTACGACAACTAGAGGCACTCGCAAAGATGGTACCTACCAAGGAAGAAGAGGCTAAGCTTGCTGATTACAAGGGAAACATTAATGAATTGGGTTCTGCTGAAAAGTTTGTTAAAGTAGCACTTACAATCCCATTTGCCTTTCTAAGAGTTGAAGCAATGCTTTATAGAGAAACTTTTGAAGATGAGGTGGTTCATCTGAGAAACTCTTTCTCAATGCTAGAGGTAACCAATCAAATGTATATCAGAGAATTCTATTCTCTATTGAAACCTATATTTCAACGCTGCTTATGTCTTTCTCTCATTCTATTTTTCATTAGGAGGCCTGCAAAGAACTCAGGTCAAGTAGGCTTTTTTTAAAATTACTCGAAGCAGTACTCAAAACAGGCAATCGTATGAACGTTGGAACCATTAGAGGAGGTGCTAGGGCATTCAAGCTTGATGCGCTCCTTAAGCTTGCTGATGTAAAGGGAACAGATGGAAAAACTACCTTACTCCATTTTGTAGTCCAAGAAATAATTCGATCAGAGGGCATTCGAGTATCAGATAGCATTATGGGAAGGATCAATCAGAAGAACAAAAGCAAAACAGTTGAAGAGCGGGAAGAAGATTACAGAAGAATGGGTTTAGACCTTGTGTCCGGTCTAAGTACAGAACTGTACAATGTCAAGAAAACAGCTACAATTGACCTGGACGTTCTTGCAAGCTCAGTCTCCAATCTGAAAGACGGAATGGCTAGACTGCAACAACTAGTACACAAAGACTTGACCACAGACGACACGAGTGGAAACTTTGTGCATTCAATGAAAACCTTCCTAAACTATGCACAAAGGAATCTAAAACAATTACAAGAGGATGAAGATAGAGTCCTACTACATGTTAGACAAATTACTGAGTACTTTCATGGAGATGTGAGCAAGGAAGAAGCCAACCCACTCCGCATATTTGTGATTGTGAGAGACTTTCTGGGGATGTTAGACTATGTCTGCAAGGAACTTAGGAGCATGAAAGTAACTAACAGTCACAACCCTCTTGCCCCATTTCGGTAGATTGGATTGCTTGTCTGTGTAGGAGGGTGTCATCCATTCACCAAAAAAAAATGTTCTTGATTTTGATTTTTTAATGTAGAGTTTTGTCTTGTTTAGATTCAATTACCTAGCAATCCCTAGTAGCTGGGATTAAGGATTTGATTTAGATTCAATTGATTGCTTGGAGGATTTGTAATAACACAATTAACTACATTATTAATCAGATGCGCATAAATCAAAAGTTCTCCATATGTACATCAATCATACCTATAATCTTGTTCCTCAATTCATGAACCAAATATAGGACTTGAAGTCATTATCCCCTACAGTTGAACACACAGAAATATCAAATGTACCTATCTGATGTAGGATCTATTACAGTTCTGGTCTGTTCATCATCTTCCAATTGCAGGAGTTGCAGAAGGCGGTGAGGACGCAGAACCGGTGTCGTTTCAATTTCCGTAGAATATTCATTTTCTTTTGACTATAATACCCCTGGAACCATCGAACCCTCTCTCTCTTTAGAAATCAAGAACGTTCGGGACAAAACGCGCGAAAATTTTATCATATGACGTGTCGATTTACTATTGGTTAGATAGCGTGTAAAGAATTGAGGGCAAGAATGTGGCGCCACGCCAGTAGGAGTAAAATCCCCTATAAAAATTACCCTTCCAAACCTTTGAGCTCCACTTGGAAACAGGGGAAACAAACAGAAAAAAGAAATTGTTCTTGCTGATTTCAGAGAAACAAATTACAGAACGGTAATGAATATCAAGAAGAAAGGCTTTGCACTTCTACTTCTCTTTCTTTCAGGTAAGAAATGTAGAGTTTTTTTTTATTCTTGAGGTATTAAGTTTATTGGCTTTTGCTTACTGCTCTGCTTTTTTCTTCTTTCTAGAATTTTTGCTAGGATTAGCAGTAGCTGCAGATGATTCTCCAAAACTTGGAACAGTGATTGGTATTGATCTTGGAACTACTTATTCTTGTGTGGGCGTCTCTCGAAACGGTCACATTGAGATTATAGCCAATGATCAAGGCAACAGAATTACACCATCGTGGGTAGCATTCACTGACACAGAGCGTCTAATAGGAGAGGCTGCAAAGAATCAAGCAGCTTTTAATCCAGAAAACACAGTTTTTGATGTTAAACGTCTCATTGGAAGAAAGTAAGCTAAAGCCATAATCTTTTTTAAGTTCGACCAATAGTGTTTAACCCATCTTCTGTTTTATGCGGTGAAATGACCGGAGTTTTTCTGGTTTTGTAGATTTGATGATCCAGAGGTTCAGAGAGATATAAAATTCTTGCCTTATAAGGTAGTGAATAAAGATGGGAAACCTTATATACAAGTAAAGGTGAAAGGAGAAACTAAGCTTTTTAGCCCTGAGGAGATCAGTGCTATGGTGTTGGGGAAGATGAAGGAAACAGCTGAGGCATACTTGGGTAAGAAGATTAAAGACGCTGTGGTCACTGTTCCAGGTATAATTCATCTCTTCTTTTCCAGATTTGGTTAATAATTACAGGATTAAAAGGAAAATACTGGATACAAATCATAGTAAAGAGCCTAATTAACCCAAAAAATATTTTAAAGAAAGGAATTGTTGGCTCATTGTGTAAATCTTTGTTTATGTTGTTTCTTGTAGCTTATTTCAATGATGCCCAAAGGCAAGCAACAAAGGATGCGGGTGCCATTGCCGGACTCAATGTGGCTCGGATAATTAATGAACCTACCGCTGCAGCTATTGCTTATGGTCTAGACAAGAAAGGAGGAGAGATGAATATTTTAGTTTATGATCTTGGTGGTGGTACATTTGATGTTAGTATTTTAACTATTGATAATGGTGTATTTGAGGTTCTTTCTACAAGCGGAGATACCCATTTGGGAGGAGAAGATTTCGACCACAGAATAATGGATTACTTCATCAAATTGATCAAGAGAAAGTATAATAAAGATATCAGCAAAGATAAAAGGGCTCTCGGGAAGCTTCGAAGAGAATGTGAGAGAGCTAAGAGAGCATTAAGCAGCCAACACCAAGTTCGAGTTGAAATTGAATCACTTTTTGATGGTATTGATTTTTCAGAGCCATTGACAAGGGCAAGATTTGAAGAATTGAATATGGACTTGTTTAAGAAGACAATGGGGCCTGTTAAAAAGGCATTGGAAGATGCAGGTTTAAAGAAATCTGATATAAATGAGATTGTGCTTGTAGGAGGAAGTACTAGAATTCCTAAAGTTCAAGAATTGTTGAAAGATATGTTTGATGGAAAAGAACCTAATAAAGGCATTAATCCAGATGAAGCTGTTGCCTATGGTGCTGCAGTTCAGGGAGGAATTCTTAGCGGCGAAGGGGGAGAAGAAACAAAAGGTCTTCTTTTGCTTGATGTTACTCCTTTGAGTTTAGGCATTGAAACAGTTGGTGGTGTTATGACTAAATTGATTCCAAGAAACACTGTTATCCCAACTAAGAAGTCTCAAATCTTTACCACTTACCAAGACCAGCAAACCACAGTTTCTATTAAGGTAATATAAATAATAAGCAACTAATGTTAATGTTACTTATCAAGATTTATACTTGCATCCTGTTCTTGAATTAACATGATTTTGAAAAAAATTTCAGGTCTATGAAGGTGAAAGAAGCTTGACTAAAGATTGTCGCGAGCTTGGAAGATTCGATCTATCAGGAATTCCACCAGCTCCAAGGTATGAATAGATTTGAAAAGCTCAAATTTCATGTTTTCATATATTGTATGAAATCGAAGTGTTTGTTTCAGGTCTGTAATTCGATGTAACTAAACCAGATTACCTTTTGCAGGGGAGTGCCCCAGATAGAGGTAACTTTCGAGGTTGATGCCAATGGGATCCTACATGTAAAGGCAGAGGACAAGGCAGCCAAGAAGAGTCAATCTATCACCATCACGAACGATAAAGGGCGACTAAGCCAAGAAGAGATTGATAGGATGATAAAGGAAGCAGAGGAAATGGCTGAAGAGGATAAGAAGGTGAAGGAAAAGATTGATGCTAGGAACAAGTTGGAGACCTACATTTACAACATGAGAAGTACTATAAATGATAATGACAAACTTGCAGAAAAGATTGATTCAGATGATAAAGAAAAGATTGAGAATGCATTGAAGGAGGCTCTTGAATGGTTGGATGATAACCAAAATGTTGAAAAGGAAGATTATGATGAGAAGTTGAAGGAGGTTGAAGCAGTTTGTAATCCAGTCATAAAACAAGTGTATGAGAAGAGTGGTGGAAGTGGGAATTCTGCTGATTCTGAAGAAGAAGAAGAGTCAAATGATGAATTGTAGATGGCATAGCTTTTGTTAATTTGGTTGGTTGGTTGTTTTTACTCTGTTTCAATTTGTTGTCACTGACATGTGAAATCATACTCTTCTCACATATAAGTTTTCATTTTCCTTTTTGAATCTATTATTAAGTCTTTTTCCGTATAAATTAATATAAATGACCACATAATTTAATTGTAAATGCAATTTGTAAAGTGTATAAGTTATATCTGAATATCTGTCTGGTCAAAGTATAAAAACACATGGTGCAAATTAATATAAATATGATACTTTCTATTGATATATAATTACATATTGTACTAGTGATCGTAAATCATGTCAATTGTTAATTTATCTATTAAAATTATTAGTCTACTTTTAAATATTTTAATTAAAGCATAACGAGTCTTTATTTTTATTTTTATTTTTTTTTTTTTTTGCAGAAGAACAAGCCTTTATTTTAAATAATTAACAATTTAATCATGTAATAATTTTGATTGTAAAATTTTTAAATATTTCATAAATTTTATAATTCTAAACAAATATATCAACCTAAATGAATTTATTAACTAATAATTATAGGAAAATACAAGAAAAATTAAAAAAACAATTGTAAGAAGCAAAGAAAGAGAAAAATATTTATTTATGAAAGAGAGAAAAATTAAGGTTAAAAAAAAAAGCCAATTAGGAAATCTTGGAAATATTTTTTGAGCTACATTTCGACAATTTTGTTTTATCATATAAATGTGGACATGGTTATATAGACAGATTAAAATGTCGTCCTTGAAAAAAAAAAAAAGAACTACATGTCAACGTCGCCGTTTAACTTGTGTCAAATTATTCTTCAAGTAACTACAGCTAGCGACGGCATCCATTCAGTTTAGACGACACAAAAATAGATACGCTGTCGTTTCACGGAGACGGCGAATCCATAAAAATGACAGTGAAGAAAAGAAATCTCCGATCAAGAGTTCCCAATTCAAAGTTTTGGCGGGTTATCAAAATGAATTGGCTTGAAGGATCATATCCTGCATTTTGAAAATAGAAGAAGCCAAAACTAACACTTCCGAGTTCCAATTCCCATCTCTGCGAATCTTTCACCCCTCTATCTCTATCCGCATTCTGGTCCGGTTCGGTTCACAACAATCACTTTCCGATTCAGTAGGTCAGATATTCTCCATTTTTTTTTTCTCTTAAATTTTGAACTGTCATTAGGGTTTTTATATATATTCTTATGTTAGCTTATTATTCAGCTTTTCCTTTTCTCTTTGTAGCCAGTTTTTTTCAAATGCAATGGCTAGTAATAATTTATCTGCTGATAAAGTTATTGCAAAGCTGATAGAAATGGGATTCGAGAATTCTTGTGCCGTTCAAGCTGTAAAAAAAGTGGGTCCTTCTCTTGATAATGCTGTTGAGTGTATCGTGAATGATTCTGCTGGAGACTCCAGAATTGCACCAACAAATTCTGAATGTTCTACTACCAGTAGAAAAAGAACATCTTCCTCTACTATTTCGGGTCAAATGAAGCAATCTAGTATTTTGGACCATTTCCAATCCACAAACAGACCCAAAAAAAGCAGAACCAATAATGTTGTGCCTGATATATCAATTTCTAAATCAGAGATCTTGACACTTCCTGTAGATGAAGCTAAGGTATCCTTGACAAGCTTGGATTCTGGTAACATCAAAACTGTGCCGGAAGGTTCGCCAATTTTCTGCCAAGAAGAGTTTGATATTGAATTAGATTGGGAGCAGAAAGCTAATTTTCTGTTGAAAAAACATTTTGGCTATCCCTCCTTGAAGAGTTTCCAAAAGGAAGCCTTGGCTGCTTGGATAGCTAACCAAGATTGCCTTGTTCTTGCTGCAACAGGATCTGGTACTGGTTTATTGCTTTATTCTTTTATGTGCTTGTTGTGATTGTTATTCATTTTGGTGGTGAAAACAATTACTTTGTGCAGGGAAATCTCTGTGTTTTCAGATTCCAGCACTATTAACTGGGAAGGTTGTGGTTGTGATTTCACCATTGATAAGCTTGATGCACGATCAGTGCTTAAAGCTATCAAGACATGGGATCTCTGCATGCTTTCTTGGATCTGGGCAACCTGACAGTACTGTTGAACAGAAAGCAATGGGAGGCATGTATGACATAATCTATGTTTGTCCAGAGACAGTTTTAAGGTGATTAACATAAAGTGTTTTTTATTGTCTTTAGAAATGGAGTTTCAAGTTTCTCTATTGAATAAGCACACAATTTTCTTCAGACTGATAAAACAACTACAGAGGCTTGCAGAAAGTCGTGGAATTGCTCTTTTTGCGATTGACGAAGTGCATTGTGTTTCTAAGTGGGGCCATGACTTTCGGCCTGACTACAGGTTCTGATTCTTATTCTATCCACATGGCGTTTTCAACTCTTGGTCACTGCATGATCATTCAGTTTCAACTTCCAACCACGGATTTATTATGACTTGAATTTCTTAATTCATATTCTATATCCTATTTTAGTTGTGTTTTAATTCTAATGCTTTAGGCTCATATGTGGACCCTTGATGGATGTTTTCTAATATTTCAGGCGTCTGTCTGTGTTGCGGGAGAATTTTAGTGCTTGCAATTTGCATTTCTTAAAGTTTGATATACCACTGATGGCGTTGACTGCAACTGCCACCATTCAAGTTCGAGAAGACATTCTTAAATCGTTGAGCATGTCGAAGGAAACAAAGATTGTGCTTACTTCATTTTTCAGGCCAAATCTAAGGTTCTTGGTAAACCTCTACCCAGCCTGTTTGAACACTGGTTTGGATTCTCTAGTTGCATGATGTGAGTGAAAGATTTAAAACTGCAAAAAGTAATGTTGTGCCTGTGACTATAAAGGAAAAAGAGGAACGAATCGACATTTCTAACTAAGTCACTTTTGCAGTTCAAATATAGTGATCGTATTTGTGAGTGTGCTGTTGTTAGATCAATCAAATTTCTGTCTGTCTTAAGCAATTTAGGTTTGGCATCTTTTTATGCGATAATATCATCTACTTAATCACAATCGCTGTGTACCATTGGTTGACATGCCTTCAATGAACCCATGACATATCTAGTGAAATATTTTCCATTGGTGGTTGGATATATTTTGACACCAATTGACCTAACCTGTCATTGTTGGAAGGGAGTAACTCCTAAATGGGTTTTAATGATATTCAATGGATCAAGGTTCCTGCTTGGTGATGAGTGCTCATTAAACACTTCATTTTCTTAACAATGTGATATATCCTATTGAAAGGAGAAAACTGGCTTAAATGATAATCGATAACAACAGTATTATTGCCCATTAAATTGTATGTCCTTTATTATATTTGGTATCATGTATTGACACTATAATTTTTTATGCGTGGTCATTGCATCCATGTTGTACTACTGTAGAAATCTAAAATTTAGTTGCTGCCCTGCTAACAGGTAAAACATAGCAGAACCTCTTCTTCCTCTTCTTATAAAAAGGATTTCCGTCAGTTGGTAGACATATATGCAAGGAAGAAAAAGAAGAAACAAAGTGTGTTCTCAGAAGTATTAAATGATTTTTCTGATAGCTCTGATGATAACAATATGTCAGATACAGATGAATGTAGTGATTTGGATGATGAAGTAACTCTAGTGGAGGAAAATGGATCAACTGCATCAGAGGGAAAAGAGCTGTCAGTTGAATATTTGGAAAATGATATTGATATCTTCCAGAGTGCGAATGACTGGGATGGTATGGCATCAATTCTTCTTTTATTCTAAAATTCATATCCCATTGTTGCCTTTTTACTGGCTGTTCATTACCATGCACTCTAATGTGCAAGGTAGAACATGAAAATAAAACTGCAAATGGGTAATAGACATTTATTTTTATACCTAACATTCATTTTTATTGTTTTATTCTAATTACTTTTTTTTATAATTTTGAAGTTGCATGTGGTGAATTCTCTGGAAAATCTCCCCACAAGGATATTGGGTCAACAGAGACAGCTGATGCCCCTAGTACAGTAGAAGAACGATTAAAACTAATGAAACGGCCTATAGAAGAGGGACCAACCATCATATATGTCCCTACAAGAAAAGAAACACTAAGCATTGCAAATCACCTTTGTGATTTTGGCGTGAAGGCTGCTCCTTATAATGCTTCAGTATGTATTCCATGGTTATTATATCAGATGTATTTAGATGACCACTCTACTGATTTTGTTTACTTTGTTGTATTTGCCAAATTTACAAGTTCATTCGTACAACATAAAAAGTTGAAATCTACACCTTTCAGCACTTCAACATGCTGCAAATAATCAATTTAATGTATGAGCAAATCATTGTTTAAGTGCACCTGTGATAGTGCAGCCACTGATGACGTAAATGTGCTACAAGATTAGAAACTTGTATAGACACCAGTAGTCTATAATAAGAAAGTTGATCTTTCATTTATATGGCATCATTACTGCTAATCTTTTGCTACGTTATCCATTCTTCCATGCCACTCTGAAAAGTTGATCTTTTCTTCATTTCCCCCCAGTTGTCAAAAGCACATTTGCGACGGGTTCACAAGGAATTTCAGGACAACATGCTAGAGGTATGGTTTTTGGAACTAGTATTATACTGCGATCATATGAATATAAGATTCTCCATAAACACTAATAAATGAAGTTTTTGCACAGCATCCTCTTGCATTCTTTACATTCTCATATCTTTTGTCCACTTATGATAAAATGAATGTAGAGGCTCTTGTAATTCTGCTTTTCATAATGTTCTTGAGGATCTGGTATGTCGATAATATTTGAACTATGCTGAGCTCTGTGGATTCATGGAATCTTGGTCGTTCCTGTTAATCTGAAGGACAAATATCATTGTGTTTTAAGCTTCCTTTCATTTCCTAGTACATATATGTGACAAATGCATATTGGGACTCAGCCATTTTCCCCATCCTCATTATAGGTTGTTGTGGCAACCATTGCTTTTGGAATGGGAATAGACAAATTAAATGTCCGAAGAATTATCCACTATGGCTGGCCACAGGTTTACATTTTATATTGCTTCCTTATCTGGTTAGGCTCAGACTTGGCATAACCTCATTCCCCACAATCATCAGTTAAATTTGGTTTCTAAAGCTTGTTTTAAGCTTAAGTTTAATCACAGAGTTTGGAAGCATATTATCAAGAAGCAGGACGTGCTGGAAGGGACGGGAAACTTGCAGAATGCAGTAAGTCCTTTTTAACACGTAGAATGCATTTTCTGTTTGGACAACAAGCGGTTTGGTGATTTTTTCCTAGTTGATTAGTGAGTGATTATGCTGTTCCAAACCTTTTTAATATGCACATTATTTATATTTCTTCCAAGACAAAAGATTTCAATTGTGAAGTTTTGGATGAGGCACCGACGGAGTCCAATAGAAGTAAATAATGTATTGCATCATCAGCTTCGTCAATGACATGTCCAAAACATAATCCTTTCTGTTTTTTCCGGCCAAGCAGTTCTATATGCAAACCTTTCAAGATTACCATCACTTTTGCCAAGTAAAAGAAGTGAAAATCAGATGAAACAAGCATACAAAATGTTGTCTGATTGTTTCAGGTCAATACCAAAAGCCTCTCCCTTTTTTTTTTTTTTTTTTTTTTTTAGGGACCAACCAGTCCATATATGTCACTCCTATACATAAGAAAAGAAATAACACTAAAGGATCATTGAGCAAAAACTCACCTATTTAGTGATTAGTTTTTTAGTCTTTTTTGAGAAGGCTGGCTCCTATATAATGCTTCAGTAAGTATTTCCCTGGTATTATATCAGATTGTATTTTAAGATGACCACTCTACTGATTTATTGTGTCTACTATTAGTCCTTATATTGCCAAATTTACAAGATTCATATCGAATGTTACCAATAATATAAGTCATGAAAATCCTACACCTTTCAGCACTTCAACCAGCTGCAAATAATCAATTTAATGTATTACAATGAGGAAAATCCATGTTTTTAAGGCACTGTGATTTAGTGCAGCCACTGCATTGACGTTAAATTGTGCTGATTGAACAAGATTACGCAAAAAATTAGGGATTCAGACACACCAGTAGTCTCTGATTATAATTAAGAAAGTTGTCTTTCATTTATACTTGGCATCATTTATGCTAATCTTTTTGCTTAGATTAGACTATCAATCATCCACACCACTATCAACTGCCACCTGTATCCATTCTTACTCCATTCCACCTTCTGAAAAGGGTTTTTTTGATTCTTTTTCTCATTCCCCCAGTTGTCAAAGAGTGCCATCATTTCGCGATTCTCGCTGTTCCTACAGGGGGAGACCTTTTCATGTTACAACAGTCATCATAGGCTGCTCTATGGTTTTTGAGAAACCTAGTTCATTATAATACTTTGCCGACATATGAATTATTAAGATTCTCCCACTAATTACACATCTTAAATATGAAGTTCTTTGTCATAGGCATCCTCTTGCATTTCTTCTATCATTGTCTTCTTTTATCTTTTGTCCACTTATGATCTAAATATGAATAGTAGGTGGTACCATCTTTGATAAATTCTGCTTTAGTCATAAAACAATGTTCTTGGAGGCATCTGGGATAATTGTCAGAATTCATATATCTTGTGAACTAACATGCGAGCTGAGCTCACTGCCGGATTCAATCGCACCCAATTGGGATCGTTCCTGTTAATACTGGTGCAAGAACTGATAATATCATTAGTAGTTTTTAAGCTGTCCAGCTTCATTTCCTAGTACCATATTATGTGAACAAATGGCATATTGGGACTCAGCCATTTTCCCCATTCCTCATTATAGGTTGTGATGGCAACTCGATTGTTTCTTGAGCAATGGGAAATAGAACAAAGTTTATAAAGTAAGCGTAAGGAATTATCCATATGCTGGCAACAGGGTTTCATTTAATGTGCTTCCGTCTAAATCTTTGCGAGGTTTAGGGCACATACTTGTGCCATATTAACATCATTCCCACCCGAAGGATGACTATGCCAAAATTTTCCATATCTTTAATTGAACAAATAGTTTGGCTTGTTATCTTAAGCTGTTTTAAGCTTAAGTTTAATCACAGAGTTTGGAAGCATTATTATCCAAGAAGTAAGACGTGCTGAAGAAGATCGGAGATAACTATGCATGAATTCCAGTAACTCGTGCCTTTCTTTAATGCACGGTCAGAATGCAATTTCTTCTGCTTCTTTGGATCAACAACGCGGTTCGGGTGATTTTTCCTAGTTGATTAGTTGTGAGTGTATATTTGTTCCAAACCTTTTGTAATTGCACATTCTATTTATATTTTTCTACCAAGATCTCCATAAAGATTTCAATTGTGAGTTTTGCGAGCTGACGGCCATCTGCCGACCGCGCAGTTCAATATAGATAGTTACAATAATGTATTGTCCTCAAGCTTCGTCAATGACATGTTCCAAAACATAATCCTTTTTCTTGGTTTTCCGGCCAAAGGACAGTTCTATATGGCAAACCTTTCAAGATTACCATACTTTTGCCAAAGTAAAAGAAAAGTGAAAATCAGATTGAAACAACTACAAAATTGTTGTTCTGATTGTTTCAGGTCATAGCCAAAAGCCTCTTCCCTTTTTTTTTTTTTTTTTTTTTTTTTTTTTTGCAGCCCCTGTCTGCTCTTTCTTATTTCAACATTTTGTTAATTTTACTTGCAGATATGGAATGAATACCTCATGTTGCCGCGCTAAAACACTCGTGGAGTATTTTGGGGAGGACTTCAGTTATGAGAAGTGTCTCTTGTACATAATCTTTCTTTCATTTTAGATCCATGTTAATATCTGTCACAGCGAACTTATATTTTAGGTTCTGAATTTTTTAATTGTAAAATTAGTTTCCATTGTCTTGTACAGTGATAGGATCCTCTGTCTGTCTACTTTATTATAGTCAGTAATTGATTCATTCTTTTGATTGCTCTGTTATACATATCACTTCTGAAAGATGACCTCTATGATATGCTTCTTAAGCATTTCTTTGACACTCTTTGATGCAGATGTGATGTGTGTATTCTTGGGCCTTCTGAAATGCAGAATTTGCAAGAGGAGGCCAATATCTTAATGCAGATTATTGCTGCTCATCATGTAAGTGTAACTTGATTTCCATTTCTAATTTCATCAGCTGTGGCCAGATTTATGTTTTCATTATGTTGGTATGCTCTGGGTTATCTAGAAGACAGAAATTAAATTTTATGGATGCATGGATAGTTTTTTTTTTAATAAAATTCTCAATTGGAGAGGTGTATGTTGAATGTCAGGAGCAGAGCAGTTTTCTTGGTGACTCATATGATGATACATACGGCGACTCCAAATCACATAGATTAATATTGAAGCCAAACCTCAGGATGTTTGTCAGCAAGTTAAGGGAGCAGGTACTACTAGATCTGCTTACTCTTTCTCTTTTACTCTCTCTCCCTCTGTCTATCATTACACATGTTAATCCAATATTAATAGGCATATGTCATTCAAATTCTTAGATGGTGCTTCTGATGGCTTTATATGATGGTCTTATGCAGTCTCAAAAATTTTGGGCAAAAGATCAGCTATGGTGGCGAGGTCTTGCCCGTGTTCTTGAAGATAAAGGATACATCAGAGAGAGTAATGACAAGGTACATATTCAAGAAGGCTTTGTGTTTTCTGAGTAGAGTTTCTAATTGAACACTCATGATTAACTATTATTATAATAGAATTGCAACTATTGTATATATAATAGTTGAAATCTAGTTGCTCAAATGAACTTTTTGATACTGTGACAACATTATCACCAAGCCAATTTCTTAGGGAGATTTCAGAACCATTGCCTTTTGACCGAGTAAATTTAGAACGTTGATTGATTATCGACTGAGCTTCCGCGCTGCTCTCTCAAGCATCTGCATTGTGCATGTTTATGTTAATGTTTGATTCCTGGCTATTCTGCTGTCATTCCTTTTATGCAGATTCATGTTCAAATAAATTTTCCGGAGCCAACAAAACTAGGATTGGAGTTCCTAGACTTTGGAAGAAATGAACCTTTTAACATCTATCCTGAAGCGGACATGCTGCTCTCAATGAACGAACACAAATCTCATTCTACTTTTGCAGATTGGGGAAAAGGTTGGGCTGATCCTGAGATCCGCCGCCAGCGGTTAGAAAGAAGGCGGTCGAGTACCAGTAGAAAGCAACAAAAACCAAGACAGCCACGAAAGAGAAAGTCCAGAAAAGTGAAACCAGATATGAGAACTTCTCGAGGGAGAATTACAGCAAAACTCTCAAAACTGAAGTGAATCAGAGATTAAAGATTACACATTATTTTGTTCTTAGATTAAATACTAAATAGTCAAAGAATACTGTTTCTTTCAACTTCCAATATAGAACATGGCTTTGATCGAGTTTTTTGTCGATGCATTCACAGACGGCAAGTGACGTAACTTGTATAGTGAGAACCTATTATGTGATTAAATGGTTACATTTAGAAATCCCATGTAGACTTTGGGTTATAATTTTCCATGCTAACAGAATATAAATATGAATATATATAACGATTTGGTTGGTTTTAAGCAGTTTCAACCCCAAAAATGTAAATTAAATTAAGGGAAATTTATTATTTAGTCCCTCAGGTTTTATAAAATTAACCAACTAATTCAAGGTTTTGCCAAAATATCTAGTTAGTCCCTCAGGTTTAACTCCGTCTAATTAAAAGGTCATTCCGTCCCAAAAGTTGGTTTTTTTCCGTTAATTATAGAAGCCAAAAAACTCTCAAAACTTTGGAAGTGGAGATCAAGAAGTATTAAAGATTACATATCAATTTATTATTTGTGTTTTCTTAGGAGATTAAACTACATAAAAACAGGGGTGAACAAAGAAAAGTTACTGTTATTCTAATTCAGCAACTTAACCCGTGAATGATCATGAAAAGTCATGCGCCTTTGAGTCTGTCAATGGTTTTAGTTTGTTCGATGGGCATTCCACAGACGGCCAACGTGGATCGTAACGTGCATATAAGTTGGAGACCATAATATTATGGTGACTTCTAAATGGGGTTAGACTTTTAGAGAGATCTCCCATTGTTATGAGGATTTTGGAGGTTTTTATAGAAAAATTTTCCATTGCTTAAACAGAATAAAATGGATATTTTGAGAATAATTAACAATATGATCGACTTTTTTGAGATTGGGATTTATATAAGAAAGGCCAGTTATCAACCCCTCTCAAAAAAAATGTAAACTTTAACATATAATGCGGAGTAATTTTCAGGAATTATTATTTAGTCCCATCTATGGATATTTATAAAATTAAAATCCCAACTAAACTCTCTCTCCTCAGTTTTTGCCAATATAATATTTAATGTTTTAGTCCCGTCAAGGTTTTTGAAACTCCGTCTCTAAAATATAAAGAAGGTGGATCATTTCCGACCCAACTATAGAAGTATGGTTTTTTTTTTCCGTTGAGCATTTAGACTAAAAGACTTTAAAAACACCTTCCATTATACCTAGTCTTTGACTGTGGACCATTAAGGGAGAAAAATTAATTATCTTACGGATGCCCTGCAGGAGTTATTTATCTATTGAATTAATACTTGAATCCTTAATACACCAAGGTGGGATTTTGTGCAAATCATTTCTAACTAGGTCCCTGTCAGCAGGGGTTTTCAACTTTCGTTCTAACTCTTGATTTAACGTGTCTCCTATTCCGCCTCACGATAAAAGGTATTTTTTTGTAATCCACGTAAATTGGAAAGACTAAAAGACTTGAATACCAACCACTCATATTCCCACTTAGTATGGATGGAGAGTTGGACAACAGTATTAGAAGCGCAGACAATAGATGAGGGAGAAATGGCATCATATCATAAACCCTAGAAAGACTCCTAAAATAAGATCATATATTTTCCCGTATAAAAGTGCGATTGACACACATTAAACCATTTTTCTCTCTAAATTACCGGATTTAGTTGCTTTAGACTATGATCATTTGGACGGAACTCGAATAAACCTATAGATATATCACTTATGTCTCTAAAATATACTATGCTTTCATTTTATGATATTCGTCAAACATTTATAGATTTTAGTCTTTTTAAAAAAATAATAAATTTGTATAAATATAATAAATACTTGGATAATTTTGGACAATATTACTCTTAATTTAATATAATCCTCTAAGAAAAATTTAAAATTGAGAGACTTGGAAGATTCAATAACCAATACAATTTAAATTAATCCCATCCCAACCAAAGGGTAATATGAAATGAAAAAATATTTATTACTCCCCTTAAACGTACAAGCGATTACAAACCTTATATCCAAAGGTCTTAGTATTAGACATACAACAATCTAGAACCAAAATAGAATTATAATAAATTATTGAATAAATTTTGACAATATTACTCTTAATTTAATATTAATCTCTAAGAAAATCATTAAATTGAAATAATAATTATTAATCATACACAAAGGGTAAATATGAAAAAAATATTTATTACTCCTTAAAACCGTAAATATAACAAGTATTTTAGACTAAATTAGACAAATATTTTAGAACAAACTATTTTCTCAAATCTGACAAGTATTATAAAACAAAGACAGTATTAAAAAAAGGATAAAAAAATTAATTTGATGTTCTAATTAAATATTATTAAATTTGAGTGAATCATGAAAGTAAATACATCTTCAAAAAAGTAATTACTTCATTTTTCTTTTTACCCCAAATTATCATCATAGTTTCTTTTTTAGAAAAAAAAGTAATAAACATATTTTCTATTTTATTCATATTTAATATGCAAATTTTATCAAGAAACATTTCTATTATCATTGATAAAATCTAAAAAAAAAAACAAAGTATTCCATCTATTCATAAATACTTTTAATATTTTTATGGTAATTAAGTAAGTAAATTTATTCTTATAAATTATAACAAAATATTAATTAATTTTATTACGTAACCTTAAGTAAGAGGAGAATGTTATATGATTTGAAAATTATAAAAATAATTATTAATTAAGATATAAATAAGGATAAAATTGAAAAAAAAAATTAATTACCATTTAATATTCTAAAACAAAAGATATTGCGGAGAAAAACATAACCGACTCTAAACATAATAGTTATTGTATAGATAAAAAAAGTGAACTTATTTATTTGCCACCTATATTATTATAAATTTCCATAACTTTGAATATGACATATTCATATTTAATGCAGGTTATTGTGCAACAAGATAAAACTAGGTATATAATTATGGCATAGAAAGAAACAAAATGGGAAACAAACTAGGTATAATAATTATCTGCTTCATAACTGGTCCACGTTAGCTAGAGGAGGGATGTTTTAGTCTTTTAGTCTTCAATTAACGGAAAAAAATTAACTTTTCGGACGGAAGGACCTTTTTCAATTAGACGGAGTTTAAACCTGAGGGACTAGTTAAGATATTTGCCGCAAAAACTTGAAGATTAGTTAGCTAATTATGTAAAACCTGAGGGACATAGATTAATAATTTTTCCTTAGGCCACGTCAGCTAGGGCACAGGGGTGTTTTTTTAAAGTCTTTAGTCTATAATTAACGGAAAAAAACCAAACTTTTGGGAACGGATGAACCCTTTTAATTAACCGAGTTAAACCTGAGAGACTAGCTTCTATAATTAACGGAAAAAAACCAACTTTTGGGACGGAATGACCTTTTAATTAGACGGAGTTAAACCTGAGAGACTAGCTAGATATTTTGGCAAAACCTTAAATTAGTTGGTTAATTTTGTAAAACCTAAGAGACTAAATAATAAATTACCCTTAAATTAATCACTCAGTTTTTAAATTTTAAAAGATCAAACTAAACCGTGAAGTTTGGATTGATTTGTGTCGATTTGAATTGATTTGGGCGATTTGCCTAGCGGAGATTATGGGGGTTTATCTTTGGTAAATTTTATTTAAAAAAAAAAGGGGTAAAGTTTAATCATTTTTCCCTGCTTAAAATGCAGAACATTTAATTAAGTAGCTTAAATGGATTCGACTTGAACAACAACGCGCATCTGGTGTAGTGGTATCATAGTACCCTCCCACGGTACTGACCGGGGTTCGATTCCCCGGATGCGCATGGAAGTTTGTTTTTTCAACTTACGTTCTGTATCAGCCTTAATGAGTTATAGTTGCATCATCCTTTTTTTGTTTGCCAAATTTAAACAGTTGGCAGAAGCAACGAATTGCAACAAAGAAATTAAGCATAGTAAATGAGGCAATAGTCGAAGCTGAAGAAAGAGCGGTGACATTTCAATCTGATTTCAACAAAGACATTATTTGTCCCATCAAGATCTTCAAGTAGCAATTGGCAGGGGCTAGGGCTGCCATGAATGAGGCATTGGAGTTTGCTGTTTAACTTAAAATCCTCGTTGATTTCCCTGACCAAGCTAATCTTTCTGTTCTGGATAGGCCATAAACGATGATGTGTTTTACTATTTTTGTTCCTTGTAAACAGGAATTCTATGTTAGTCGTGGTAAAAACATGATCTTATTGAATTAAGGCTGCGAGTTCAAATATTTGTTGCGTCGGTAACAACAACCCGTGAGTAGAGAGGCAAATTGGGCTTTGCCTTTATTTTTGCAGAGATTAATATTAATCTGAACTAGATTAATATAAGCTCCTCATGAACCAGAGAACTTGATTAGCATCCGAAAAAAAAATGTAGTACAATTTGTTCCGTTTTGTTCTGTAACAATTACAGATCCATTTATGAGGAAGGCAATGTATAGATCAAATCATTGAAGATATTCTTTTTAATCACAACTTCCTGATGCATAAAGACAAATCTCAATTCCATTCAACTCAAGCTTCCGCTGATCTTCCTCCAATCTGTTCATGAAAGCAAAAACTATAGAGTACTCACATGTCTGGATTTGCTTCCTCTGGAGTGACTGTCAACGTCACCAAAATATCATTGGACCTTTTCACAACTGCCTTCAAGGGAACTCCAACCCTGTCCCCCATAATCTCAATAATCTGCCACAAATTCATATGAATCAAGCATCAGAATACAAAAAAAATTCACAACCAAAATTCAGAATGTCTGTGTTCCAGACCAAAAACTTCATAAAAGTCTAACAATAGGCAAATTAGGCAGGTATAATTTTCAAAATCTCCATGTATAAACTTTAAAGAATTCAGTGGTTTTGCTGTAGAGGCTCACAGCCCAAATATGCACCCCCCAGAAATCTCATAAAGTCTCCCTCAACCAAAAAGAATGAGAAAATGTTAGATACCTCCTTGATGCTTTCAACAGGCTTCCCGTCAAATTCGATGACAACATCACCTGGATGGAATCCAGCACGATCTGCAGGAGATCCTGGAGTTACCTGCAAAGATATAAGAACTTTAGGCAAAATGCACTACTTTGAGACCAAACCTCAATTTCATAACATGGTTTCACATGCATGTGACATGAAAAAAACAGAAAAAAATATCTAGGTTAGGATATATTTATATCGGCTCTGTCAACAAAAGGGAATATGGCATCTAGACAACCGCACCATAGGGACAAGAACGCCCCTGTCAACATTTGGAAATCTGGCATCTCTCTCTTTAAGTTGAGCAATAATCATCTCATTCAGATCAATCATCTTCAAGCCAAGCCAAGGACGAACCACTCTCCTGCAAAGTACTACTACCCATTCACTTTAGTGTTTCAAGATAATGATGCCTACCAAAACAGATTATTACTACTATTTTGTTCCTGCTATTCAGAATTTAATAAAATTATAAAAATAGGATTGATTTAAAAACTTGATCAATGTAGGGCCAAAATCACTCATGAAAACTTCATTGCACAAAAGAACCAAATCACATACCCACTTTTCTTGAAATGCTCTATGATTTTGGCAACTGAGTCAATTGGTACAGCAAAACTTAATCCATCTGCAGCCAATACTTTCATGATATTGACACCAACAACTTCTCCATCAATATTAACAAGCGGTCCACCAGAATTTCCCTGTGGCATAAAAGTTGATGGAACAATTGCTTAGTATATGGATGAAATAAAATAGTTGCAGAGGAGAAAATAATGCACATACACATGATCTCTAAGTATTCCTCAAGAAAATAATCCTTGAAAATGTCCTTCCAAGCTGAGCGAGATACCTCATTGATTGCGCAATCAGTCTGCAAATACTCTCTTCGCATGCCTCCAAGACCCAGGTCACTGCTTTTACGGTCAACACAACTACGCCCAAACTACAGTCATTATTATTTTATGTGCATTAAAATATGGAGGGGAAAACAGACTCTCCAATCAACACCCTTAAAAATTCTTATTACCTTACAATACCAGCTGTCACAGTATTTTGAAGGGAAAGTGGGCAGCCCATAGCTATCACCCAATCTCCAGGGCGAAGCCTACTTGAAACACCAAGCTTTGCGTTTGGCAATGGAGTTTTAGATTTAATCTTTACTATAGCAATATCTGAATGTAAATCAGCATTGACCACTGTACCCTCAAATGTTCGACCATCTTGCAAAGTCACATCTACCTGCAAATGTTCATAATGCCTCAAATTCTATTGCAGAGACCTCACAAATAAGTTTATCAACAAACTTTTTAGCAACATCAATACTGAAAAGCCATCATGCATTGCAAACACAGTCCACAACATTAAGAACTTGAGAGATGCAACAGCATGCTAATAGATTACATTTTCAATAAACTGAGCTATATGAAGCATCAATGAGTATATCAATAAAATCACAATGAAGTAGAATTTCCAACTCAACAGCATAACATTGCTATAATATATCTTTAAGTGTTGAACATATTTTTGTGTATGCTATCACTAACCTTCCCTTTGGATGAAGCTTTAAGGCCTTGAAAATCCACCACAACATGAGCACATGTTAAAATAGTACCATCTGAATCAATAATAGTTCCAGAGCCTATGCTCTTTCCAGTGGTAATCCCAAAGAATCCTACAGAAAAGAAAATTTATGCAAAACCACTTATTTTCTTTAATATACCAAGAAAATATCCAAACCACAAAATTCAGAAGAATCCCAAAGACATACCCTGAGGAACCGAGAGATTGACAACAGCTGGACCAACCCTAGCAGCCGCATTGGCTATAGTATCCCTGCCTAAACATCCACAACATGGTTTTGGATCATCTCCAACAACAGAACACCCTTTCTTTATGTCAGCAGGTGGAACAGGACTAACTCCAGAAGAAAATAACGAAAGATTTCCTACAAAATAGAATATACTATAAAAGAAACATAGCAATTTATTCAATTTAAAAAAAAAAAAAAAAAAAGTTGAACACAAACCAAAATCCCAATGCTCTGCGGAAATAAATGGAGGCAAAGAGATTAACTGCCGTGATAGGTGGCATGATGGTAATAGAGATTCACTCAATGGAGCTGGAATTGAGAGAGAGATCGTTCCGTCTATAACATTCAATTCACAATAGTTAATTTTGCTACAAAATGGAAGGGAAACAGGCAAGAAATACAGTCGTAACAATCAAAACACCTTTAAGAAGAAAAGAAACAAAATCCTAAACCCAATAAAATAAAACAAAAGAATTGCAGAGATAATGTAGAGCTTACTTGAATCGGAGTAGCTGCTGAGGGCATAGAGAAGACCCGACCCGGCAGCAGCAATGGCGAGGGCCCGAATAAGCGATGGTCGGCCGGAAGAAACTGAAGCCCTTCTCTGCAAAACCAAAAGAACTTGGGTATAGTTATTTAAAAAATTACAACCACGATAGAATTGTATAGAATCAACTTCGACGTCGGAAATGAATGGAAACGTATACGTTATAAATGAATATTTGAAACCATCCAAATAGATTACCAGAAATCGGTTCATGTCTTCCACTTCCGGTACTCCAACAAAACCCTGGTAAAACCTTCGGGTTTCTTAACGATGATCACTGAATCGCTAAGGCAGCAAGTCTGGAAGTTTCTGGGCCGACTTCCTAGGCCACAACCCAAGACGCCACATTCATCTAGATATGGGCTTTAAAAGCCACACTAATTATTTACTTTACCAAACCATTTTTTCAATTAAGATCCCATTCTGACCGTTTAAATCGCAAATAGTGAAATTCACATAACGTTCACTCTATCAAACACTCGAGGAAAAAGATACCTGGGCACAAATTTTTGACAGTCATTTCCAATCAAATATTTGGGAAAAGATGCGCGTAAAGCAAAATTATCTACCTTACGCAATTTCATGGCGGAAAAATTTAGCACAAACAAACTATTACCCATCAGGGATTCAAGTTACTCGCACATGATATCATGAAACTTGACACAGGGAAACATTGAAAAAGCAGGAAACAAGTGAATTTCCATTATAATATAACATCAACTACATTATGCACTACTAAAGGGTAGACAAATTTCACCAGGGGAAAAAAAAAAAAAAAAAGAAATCCTAGATCCTAAATTCCATTATTGATACATTAGTAACTGTTTAGGCGCTTTTGGCTGATTTAGGAGATTTTGGCGATTTGGGCTCAGTAGAAGATTTATCAGAGGCAGCAGATTTCTTTGGCAACAGAACAGGGTTGATGTTTGGTAGCACTCCACCACTTGCAATAGTAACCCCTTGAAGCAATTTGCCTAACTCCTCATCATTTCTCACCGCTAGCAGCACATGCCTAGGATTTATCCTGTTCTTCTTGTTATCTCTTGCTGCATTCCCAGCCAACTCAAGCACCTATACATCACCCATAAATCATTCGTAAGAATTCAGTTCGAAAGAGATTGAGATCGAAAACAGCATGCTAGTTAAAGTTTAAAAGAAAAATCAATTGGATTAAAATTTACATGGAAGCGAAACAGATTGGATCGGATATTTACCTCGGCGGCGAGATACTCGAGAACGGCAGCAAGATAGATCGGAGCTCCGGCACCATATCTCTGCGCATATCGGCCCTTTTTGAGAAACCGGCTAATACGACCCACTGGAAATTGAAGCCCAGCTCTAATCGACTTTGAAACAGCCTTCTTTCTGTCTCCTCCTCTTCTTCCTCCTGCACCCTTCTTCTCCTTGGTAGAATCCATTGTTGATCTAAAATTAGGCAAAAAGAGATCTGAATCTTTGATTTGAAATACAAACGGAGCGTTTTAGAGGGAAAGTGAATGTCTTTCGAATTTGAGATTTTGATGGCCGTTTGAGTTGCGTATTTATGGGAGACTTTTGCGATGTTGGCGATCCCCGCGCTTTATGTTTAGGCCGTTGCGATTGCTTTTTGAGGTTTTGATCTGGTGGTTAATAGTTGACAAGCTGGCAATCCTCAGTTTCTCAGTGACGACCTTTAGCACAATTAGTAATTCTTTAAAGACGTGAACCATTGGATTAGCCATGCTGGCAATTCGTCAAGTGTGATTTTGGCCAATGAATTATTTCTTGCCATAATAGCTAAATAATTTTCCTTTTCGTTTGGCAGAATGAAAGTTAAAAATTAAACAAAAAAATCATTAGAATAAATTGTAAATTAGTGGAGTAAAAAATTTGTTGAAAACTGTTGAAATATTGCCAGAATTAAAATCGAAATTGAATTTTTATTAAGGGTTTCGATTTCTCGTTTAAATTAATAGAATAATATAACTGAAAAACTAATTTTTAAATTGAAGCGATCATAGCTTAAATCTAATCATTAATAATATCATATTAATATTTATAAACAGATTATGTCAGCACATCACCATTGAGAATGAGATGTATAAAGTCAACATCCTGAATCCCTGCATAATTAGCTAAAATTATAGCAAGGTACAACATTAGCAGTCCAACATATATACGATAAGGAATTCGTATATAATACATATAAAGGCAATAAACAAAAGAGGTGCTCATGCACATGCACGCTCAATAGCCTATCTTCTAATTTTCTTGCAATTATACATTGAATAAAAAAATCTATTTTTTTTGTTTATTAAAGCATTATAAGCTACTCAGAGTCTCATATTCACCAAATCTACAAACAACTATGAAATGATGAACTGGGAGTCCTAAAGCAGAATGGCTATTTTGACTTGTACAACGGTGTTCTTCAAGATCCAATACGTAAGACAGAAAACAAAAAAAAAAAAAAGAGCTAGTGCAAGTCGAATGATATCAAAATGAATCTTAAATTTAACTTCTAGCTTAGCTACCAAGTTGCTCGAGCAAGAAACCATAGATAAAAACAGATACACCCTGAGAATGCACGAATTTTTTTATACTCTTTTCATACTTCTAGGATACGAATAATATTATAATGGGTATTTACAAACGCCTCAACTCAACACACTCGAAGCTCTTCCTGATGTAATTACTCAATGTTGCAACATTTATCACAAATTCTTATATTTTCCCTAAAAATGTACAAAACGCATTATTAGCAATAATTATCAGCTAGAGTAGAAAACATCTTTAAGTTGGCTTATGGAAAAGTTTCTCCTGGCTTCAAGAAATTGTCCAAATTCAAGAAATTGTGATGTTCGAGCTGAGTCATCTCTCCACCGTTTTCTGGGTCAAACTCACATCGGTAGAAGCTGCAAAATGAAATACGACTTGGATGCATTAGACATTCAGGATATTATACATTGACACTATCAATGCATACACATTAATGTTAGCAGAAAGCAAATATCTCGACCAAATTGTCAGACTCAGGAATTGCCTCCACTGCTGTAATTATAAGAGCCAGGGATATTATGAAGGATAAGAAACCCCCCAAAAAAATAAGTAAAATAAAAATAAAAGGCTTGGTAACTTGAGCTACCATGGTTAAGGTAAACAGACAAAATAACAAGTCAAAAACAGAATAAGGATGCTCTGATATGTCATTACCTTCCATCCATGCCAATAATTACAATTGTGTTCTTCTGGTGGCCAAACGCAACAAGATACTGCAATCCTTCAGTTAATCGAAACTGAGCCACTGACCACTCTGAGCTGAAATACTTCGGCAATACACCTGCAAAAAGCAAGAACCATGGATCAGCTTGATCTCTTAAATAATTCATATCAAGAACTAAGCTTTGTTTTGCAAAATATAATCAAAACTGTGATATCAGTTTTTGGAGTTCAGAGGTTGGCCGTTAATCTCTGTAACAATTCAAACACAGGTTCAACTTCATAACCCCTAGCCAAGGCTTGCTGAGGCAGCACTTTAGCATATAGGTGATAGACTGCGATTCAGTATAATAGCAACAATGAATATAAATAAAATACCTTTCAAAATGGAAAGGGACGAAATGCCCAAACCACCAGACTGATTTGGTTCAGATGCAACATGAGATCTATCATTCGCTAACGTCACCAGTGATCCTGAATCAACCTTGAGGCTGAATACATGGACAGTTCCCTTCTCACTTGAGAGAGCTAACCACTGAGCATTTGAAGAGAATGCAAGACTGTATATTTCAGCTCTATCTGCACCTCTCCTAACCTTATATCATGTCACAACAAATGGTCCAACATCAGCAAATAGCATTGGAAGTTCACATTAACAGGAAACCCATTAGACAGAGCTAAAAAAAGACATGCTTGTATAATTTACCAAAGATGGAATTATCAATGTGCAAGATGCATTCAAATGTGAAACAATTAAAATTCAACCTTAAGATCTAAATTTGTAATTTGCATAATTTATAGCTTCAAAAACTAGAGATTAATGTTTCATCTCAATATAATTCTACTACTAACGCAACAAAAAGTCTATGGCTTTATACTAGATAGAATTAAATTCCTCAAATCTGGAACTATGCATAAGTATTCATGATTGTGTGAATTAAACTCCACTCACATCAAAACAAATATATGCATGCATAGATAAATTCGTATAACAGTAAAATAAATTGCATACCTCCTGCAATAACGATCCATCCAAGGTATTAAAAACCCTAATCAAAGTGCCCTTACTACTGGCAGTAGCCAACAACCTGCCATCTTGAGTCAGAGTCATACAAGCGATCCGCGAATCATGTGCCATAACAAATTTTGTTCTTTTCGACCCGTAATTCTCCACTCTAATTTGCCCCTTTTGAAGGCCAGGGCAAACCAGAACCATTGGCGACGAAGTATTAGATATCTCACACAACCCTTTTGGATTCAAAACCGTCTCGATTTGGTGTATCAACTTCAAGTCTACGAAATTGTACACGAAAATTTTCTGTAGCAATACAACGATTATCTTGTCTCGTCGTAACTTAACGTTTTTTACCTCTGACCGGAATGATAACTCGCCGATACAACGCGATTGATGGTCATCCCAGATCATTACCTTACTCGTTGGGTACATGGGATCAGGTCCACCGCCCACTAAGCAGATGATGTTGCTACGGAAGAGCATGGTCACAAGCCCGATTCCGCCCCGCGAACCTAGGTCGCGACGGAATTGGGGCTTGAACGGGTCGGTGTTGTAGATACAGAACCCATTATCGAGACCCGCAGCGAAGCAGCCGTAGTCTTGATTGAAGGAGAGATGGTAGATAGCTGGGTTTTGTGTCGGCTTATGAAAATCTGATAGAAAGGAGGGAGTGGTAGAGGTAGAGTCATCAGGTTCAGAGTCGGAATCGGACGGGATGTGGTGGGTGGCGGAAGGCTGAGCCATGAAGCAATAAGGGTTTTGGGAGGAGGACACGGTGATCATCCAGGTTGATTTCACAGCAGAGAACTGTTTTAAGAGATAAGTATGTCGGGCTTTATATATGACGGGGACACTTGTCAACGAGATGGATTCTTAACAATTACAGAAAACAAAATTACCAAAATAGGTTTTTCCTGAACATACACAACCTACTTAGTTTTACCATATTCCTAATTGGATTTGACTGTTACTTTAGCGGTAACTGAATTTAATTTTTATCTGGAGTTTGACTTTTGAGACTAAATTATAAAAAGGAAAAATAATTATCCCGTCTTTAAATTTTGGTCTAATTTACACTTAAAAGATCTTTATTTTTAAAAAGTAATTATTAAATTTCTAAATTTTAATTCCGCATGTATCTTGGTCATGTAATCCAAAAGACCTATTTTTAACTATTAAGTTAATGTGTATGTACAAAAATGCCCTGATATGAGCTCTCTTCCCTGTGTCTTCACCGTGACCAAGAACTGCCAGCAAAAATAGGAGAAATATAATTACCTCCATCGCCACCGCACATGAGCTGAACAAACATTTAAAAATCTGCCTAGTCTCGATCCATCATCCTATTTCTATAGGTATTTACCTCGTGCGCCAGATAATCACACACAATAATATTAATCGAACAAATTCGCATATCAAATATAATCACAAACTTAATCTTCACGAAAATAAAGTATCAAGACAACAAGATCATTTATTATATCATCACCAATTCAACCAGATTATCAGAAAAACGATTAATTCTTTTTTCCGTTAATAACAATTTAGATTTGGGATATTTGTTACTAGGTCTTTGCAGCTAAAGGTTAAGGGATTGGAAGAATAAGAAAGAAATTAGAAGAAAGCAACTTATAATAAGCTTAGAAAGTGAAAGAAAGCAGGTGATAATGGCGAGATGGAGACCTTGGAACATAAAATAGCAACGACATTCTGGGTATTGAAGGAGAAGAGATTAGAGGTACCCATGACATGTTATTCACTATTCTGTTGCAACCTACTCCCATAAACACATTTTTCACTTCAATGTCACCATTATCGTTTGTAGACATTATTAATATTTTACAAAGAGGGTGAAAGGAAAAAGAGTTCAGGAGATGGTACTTGAACAAGAAATCAAGCTCAAGGAGGCTCCTTAGTTTACTGTCGTTTGAGAAAGGGAAATAAAGCAAAGGTGGTGAGCTTACAGTAAACCCTTGGGTGTTTATTGGGATTTAATTTTTTTTATCTCTCTTTTAACTCACTTAAATTGTAAAGACTAACGGAAAAAGTGTATTATTTTGAACGGAGGGATTAAGTTATTGACGGAAGTAAAATTTAGAAATCTCATAATTGCTTTTTTAAAATAAAGATCCTCAAATGTTAATTAGGCTAAAACTTAGAGATGCGATTATTTTTTCCCTTATAAAAATTCAGATGTAATTTTATTTTATTTTAGTTAATAAATTATTTTATTTTTCATTTTATTAATTGCAACTTAAATATTAAGACTAAAAATATTTGGATATTTAAATGTTGAATTAGCCCTTATTCCAAAAAAAAAAAAAATGTTGAATTAGCCCTTAAGTTTTTTGAATGTGACGAACTTGCAAGCTTAATACGTTGATACTATATATTTTCTTTTCTTTTTTATATTGATTTGTGTTGTACTAAAATAATTGATTATTACTTTATTTAGTGCAACAATTCAAGTTCACTATTTGATATTATTTTTTTTAAATGCAATATTAAGAAATAGTAGTAAAAATTGAAAAAAAAAACATAATTTAATAATTTTAATTTTTAATACAAAAAAATTACATTTTCTAAAAAATATAATGCTTTTAAATATTGAACATGATACTTGGTATTAAAAAAATATATATAAATATCATTTCTTTATTAATTTACATTCTATTACGAGGGAGGGAAGTTAGAAAAAAATATTATAAATCGATTAATCATACTCAAAGTGTAAAAAAAATATTATAAATCGGTTAATCACACTCAAAGTATAAATATCGAAAAACAAACATAGTTCAAACGTTACATTGATTACAATAAGGCGCGATTAATTTCTAATAAATTTAAAATTTAAGATATTTTTTTTGCTTATTTGGCCAAATATGAAATCGTTGTTACTCTTTTCTTTTGTTAATTTGAAAAAGGTAATATCTCATTGTCCATTGAAAATCCTTGTGCTGTGTTAATGAAATTGCAATGAAGTTTCTTAAACTTATGCATTTTATGGAAAAAAAGCCAAGGGATAAATGCTAAAAAGTAAATATGAAAATTTCTTACCTACAATAGATGGTCCCAAAGGGTAAAACAAAATTAAGTTAAACAAAGGCAGTAAAAAAAAGATCAAGAAAGAGATAAATAAGGGTAATTTTGTTTGACTGTATGCTCATGGTTAATTAACTATCACTATTTGCAAACACTTGTATTTTAGAAGCAGAAAACTCTACTTAATATATATATATATATATATATATATATATATATATATATATATATTCTCATTCATATACATACCATACATAATTGAGTAATATATTCTCATTCATATACATACATACATAATTGAGTAAATTCCTGCAATTTCTCTTCTTCTTCTTTCAAAAACATTAAATTAAATAAAAAAATTGAAGAAAAGAGAAAGAAAAAAGAAAAATCAGAAATCGAAGCCATCATCAAAACCAGCATCGTATCCAGCATCATAGGAAGCCATCTCTCCAACATCAGATATCATATCACCAACTAACAATCCACCAAGCAAACCTGCTCCCAATCCCAATGCCATCTTCCCTCCACTGCTTTTCTTCGGCGGCGCCTGCTGCACCATTCCGGGATATCCACCATACCCAGCTGCCGGCGGATAACCTGAATACCCATACCCGGGAGCCGGAGGATACCCACCATAAGCATGCTGTGGAGGCGGTGGGTAACCACCTGGTGCTGGGTAAGGATAAGGATACGGACCCTGCGCCATATTAGGTGGTGCATATCCGCCTGGAGCTGGATAACCAGAACTAGCTCCGGCACCTGGATATCCCGCAGGCGGATATGCCATAACTGGATCATCTACCTTCTTCGCCTTCTCCGTATGTAATGGAGCCTCGAATTTTTCACCAAATTTAAACGAGAAGTTTAAAGTACCTTTGCTTTTTCCTTTTGGTGTCCTGACGCTATAGCTGACAATCTGTTCTTGCTCTGTTTTTCCATCGCCGGATTTCTTATCCAGCAACTCCTTGATGGGGACATGGACTTCACCGATTTCTCTATCGCCTAAGCTCCGATCAGAGACAAGCTTGAATTGGAGAGTAAGGCGGTTGGCTTGGGCCGACGTTTCATGGATAGTGAATTTCATGGGAAAGTTCCATTTAGGATTAGTCCCAGAATCTTTATCGACATGGGTTTTCTGTTTCTGCTTGGAATTGTAAAGATCTCCACGAATGGAAACCTCGGCATAAACATCCATTTTGGAGAACACATTGACATCTTTAATATCCTTGGCTGAGATTACAGTGATCTGTAATGGGCGGCACTCCATTTTGATTTCAAGCAAGAATCAAAGAAGTATAGCAGAAAGAGAAACAGAGAGTTTCTGTATTGATGAATACTTTAAAAGATTTTGATTTTAGTTGAGATTGATATTTTTGCGGAAGAGAAGCGGCCTATATAAAGGAGGACGTTGCTGTTTTGAGGAAAGTGAAAAGGAAGATTCGATGGCTTTGCAACCGCCTATATTGGAAGGTTGGAGATGCCTGAATTCTTTAAAACAACGTTAACGCGTTTTATTTTATATATATATATGCTCTGAATTCTTTAAAAAACAACGTTACGCGTTTTATTTTATCTTATTTATATAATATATATATATTTTTTGTTTTTTCAAAAACGCCTGATAATCTAATTAAGAAATCTAATTCTGATTATTTCAAAAAAAATAAAGAAATCATCTAATTTCTGGTGTTAACGGTAAATAACTTCTTCATCTAATTATTAATTATATGCAGATCTTCATTCTGGAACGACTATATATATATATATATTTTTTTTTTTCAAAACGCGATAATCTAATAAGAAATCTAATTCTGATTATTTCAAAAAAAAAAAGAAATCATCTAATTTCTGGTGTTAACGGTAATAACTTCTTATTAATTTATAATTATATGCAGATTTATTCTGGAATGGGGTTTGGTTGACAAAGGAAATATGGAAAGTCTAAATCAGAATAAGATTTAGTACCTAACCAATGTTTTATCTATATCCATCCAAATCTATTTTTTTTATTGTTTTGTTTTTTAGTTAATTAATTACTATGTTAATCTCCATTATTAATGCTTAAGTGAGTATAGACCGTGTCTGCAGCGCGTATCTAGAATTAGTACCTTTCGCCCTTTTCTATATAATTATACTATTTCTTTCTCTTTAAGGAATCAGTGTGCCACGTGGGGCGGGCCCACCTTTAAGCAAAACTCAAATACGCACCCACTTGACCCAACGCAGCCCAACCCAACACTATTACTTAAGCCCAATCGCATATTTGGGTGATGAATTGGCCACTAATGTAAAATGGCTTTCCTATAAATAAACAACTTCAACATTCCAAAGCAAGCCTTAAGAGTGCATTTTAACCCATAAAAGCATAGCATAATGATGAACTAAACAAGCAAAAAATGTATGAAAAATTCTCACCACACGCACTTCAGCCACCAAACTACAGAAGTAAAAATAAGTGCGGGAGAAAGAAAGAGAGGCGAAGGGGGGGAGGAAGAATAAAGAACAAAAGAGAGAGAATGGCACTATCTGTATGGATACATTTTGGAGGATCCATCAAGGCAGGCTTTACATAATTTATAGATGATGGATTTCCTCAATCGGCTCTCATTTAACAACACGCGATGCCCGCTTGTGCTCCAAAAACAAAAATATTTATGCAGCTTGTTTCCTTGCATTCAAAATCCCACAAGCAAATTTATGCAGAGCGTTGGACGCGAATTGGCAGGCCGTTTTGTCCTTCTTTAGTAATAGAGTGATAGGCCCATACAACTCAAAGAGGATGGTAAGGCACATAGCCTAACAAGCTCGTCACAGTAGTTACAACATCGTTGCACCTCGTCAAAAGGCTTAGCATCTGCTGTGAAATATCTATTGTAGGTCGAGCCATGGGAATATTCAGATTGTGCATATTTCTGGGTGCTACTTCAATATGATGCGAGTTATTAAGTGGCAATTTTGTATATTGACTAGGAAGGGGAGGAGGAATAGGTGATGGAGGAATAACCTTTTGAAAGTTCTTACTATTAAAATCCATAGCAACAGAAGAAGAAGAAGAAGTAGGTGCACCACCATCTGCAAAACTAGCATTGTTGTTGAAGTTTCTATTACCAACCATCAATTGCTCTCCCCTACTAGTTTCTTCCCCACCCAACATGAATTTTACACGTGCTGTTCCTCTACCACCATTTCCACCCATTACCTGTCCTGCTTCATCACCGGTTGGTTTCTTCAGAATAGACTTGAGCTGTACGGTTGACTGAGGATGAACAGCCTGGTGCAACAGTGGTGGTCTTTCAATTGCTGGATCCTTTACTCGTGGGGCCTCAAGGGTAGTGTCATCTCCTCTGCCCTTGTCAGCTTCAGCTGCTTCTGATGCAGGAGCTCCTACTTCCCGGACACTGTATCTCACATTCAAATTGCCAAATAAGGTATTGTTCACAGCATATTTGTATGCTGCCTGTGCATCAAGTTTGTGCCGGAACACAACACGGCATGTTGATGTCTGCCAAAACACACGGATAGCTGACTGATCTATAGAGCCAAATCGAGCAAACTTTGCCTTTAGCTGAGCTGCAGAAGGAAGGTTTGTCTGAGGAGGGAATTTCATCACCAGCATGGTGGGTTCAACTGCTCTAGGCTGAGATTCCATTTTTCTGGCGGAATCTGATTTAACAGGTTTGGCTGGAGCTGTAGTTGCTGGTTCTTTACCTTCTGTTCGATGTGTTTCCGATGTTCTCATACCTGCCTTCTTTTCAGCAGCTAATGATTTCAACATACTAATTTTTTTCAATTTCCTTGCCGCAATTTCCTCTTGACGATCAGATGGTAACCTCTTTCGTCCACCTCTCATTGGATCATCTGGTCTGACTAAAGATTTTACAGGTTTTGAAGATGTCAAATCTCTGACATTCTCACCAGCAGAATTGCCAGAAACCCCAGCAGAAGATGGAAATTTAGCAGCACGAATTTCATTGGTCTCAGTCTCAGATGGTGGTGACAAAGCCAAGCTTTTTTGATAAAAGTGGGACCGGAACCGCAAAAAGAACTGCATTGTAATTGAAGGACCGTTCCTTTCTGTACCATGATAAGGATTGAGCGCAAGAGCATGCAAATCACTTAACAGATGTGGTAGCTCAAGCTCAATATTTCCCATGCCAACCATTGGCAATGGTCCAACACTACTGAATGGGGCATTACTAGTGCCAACATCTTTCTTCTGCTGGTTTCCCCGATGATCCTCTCTGGAAGCTACATTGATCAGACTAGATTTTCCTGCCACTCCTGCACCAGCTAATCGCTTCTTCGGATGATCAGGGCTTATTTCTGTGCCTGAATCTTTCTTCTTTTTCTTCTTTTTTTCCCTTGTAACAGAGTTCTCAGAGCCCAAATCCCCCAAAGGCCGTTTGAGGACTTTGGCTTTCTTCACTGCAACATCAGCGCTCATTACAACAGCATGCTTTGCATCATATGATGAAAGATTTGAACTGGGACGACCATCCTGAAACTTATCCAAACTGCTGTCTCCTTCAACTCTAGCAGAAATGCTCCCAGTTTGCAGAGAACCTTCAACCAATCTGGACACTTTTGCACTTTCTTCATATCTAATGTCAACGGTGGCCTCACCTTCGTGCTGAAAAGAAGGTGATGCATAGTCTGTTACACCCAGAGGCACCCCCTTTATTGAAATATCAGGCTGAACCCTACCTGTCGAGTCCACCATAACATCTGCCCCCATTTTGTCCTTTGTTTCTTGCTGTACATCCTTCTCCTTATCAAGAGACAATTTTTCATCTAAAACATTACCTTGGGTAGCTTGAGCACCTGGATATCCTAGACCCTGATCCAAGATTACTGCTTCTTTCCCAAATACTTCTTCACTGAAACCTGCAACTTCATTGCTAATAACCTCGGAGTGTCCATTTTTTGCCGAAACAGGTGTGGGAGCCCTTTTCTGCAAAACATAGTCACCAGTTACTATTGCTGAAGAACCTTCCTCATATGCTGCTGGGGCTGAGGAACCTGCCAGTCTTTCACCAAATTGAAGGGTTCTTGAGTCAACTGGCTCATCTCTCCGCTTGAAGAGGTACCTGTCTTTCTTTGAATGATCCTTCACTTTCACAGATTTTTTTGAGCTCTTCCCACTACCCAGAGCCTCGGCTATCACCAGTGGGCCACTCAAAGGAGCTGGAAAAGCAAACAGAAAGAGAATGAGAATGGACAGATTGAAGAGCTATAGCATGAGTTTTAGATAATTAGTGGTTAAAAAAGAAAAAAAAAAAAACCTATAAGGACCTATCCATGAGATATCGGTAATAACTCAAATAAGGGGAGAAGGCACAGTTTTCATCGATGGAAAAAAAAACCTATAGGCATGGTTTTAGATAATAAGTGGGTTAAAAAAGGGAAAAAAAAAAAAAAAAACCTATTAAGAACCTATCCATGAGATATCTGGTAATAACTTCAAATAAGGGGAGAAGGGCACAGTTTTCATCGATGGAGAAAAAAAAAAAACATAAGTACCTATAAAAACAACTTAACAACTGCCTGCCTAAACATTTTCTTGAGACATTCTATTTCTTATTTGAAATCTCTGATAGCGTGCCCTACAGTTATTAGATAATAAAATTTCTTCTTGATACCAGATAGTCTGTTTATTTAAATTTAACTAGCTTCCCAAAAAAATCCCAATTCACACAAATAATATCTAGGTCTCTTAGGTGATGACTATACTTCATTAAAAAATTTTCAAGCTTTCAAGTTAGTGTGTGTATTAATCATCAATAAAAAGACAATTAAAAAAAGCTTTTTATGCCTGCAATGATATTGATTAAAATTTAGTTTTGCAGGCAGCTGCACAAAATTTAATGCCAGTTGCATTTAAAAATTAAAAAAGCCCATAATCTCCAAGATTTAAATGAGGGGAAAATGCTCAAAATAAAATTTCTCTAGATTGGCTTCATAAATTGACGAAAAATTCGAAACCTAAATGTGCACACACGCACCCAGGCCAAAATCAAGAAAGAAAAGGCGCCCAGGAGAATCTAGAACTACCTGTCAACTTCTTATTCCAAATTTCTGTAGGGGAAAGTAGAATGCAGGACGTATGTTTGCACGTTCTTATATCAATGCATCTCAGGACAACTGCCATAGTTGAATAAGCACTTACACACAAGATATTTGTAAAACAATGAAAAAAAAAAAACCTATAAGGACCTATCCATGAGATATCGGTAATAACTCAAATAAGGGGAGAAGGCACAGTTTTCATCGATGGAAAAAAAAAACAGTACCTATAAACAACTTTAACTGCTGCTAAACATTTTCTTGAGACATTCTATTTCTTATTGAATCTCTGTAGCGTGCCCTACAGTTTATAGATAATAAAATTTCTCTAAATACAGAGTAGTATGTTATTTAAATTTAACTAGCTCCCAAAAAAATCCAATCAAAATAATACTAGTCTCTTAGGTATGATATACTCATTAAAAATTCAAGCTTTTCAAGTTAAATAGAATTATATTATTCATCAATAAAAAGACATTAAAAAAAGCTTTTATGTGAATGATATTTGATTAAAATTTAGTTTTGCAGGCACTGCACAAAATTAATGCCAGTGCATTAAAAATTAAAAAGCAATTCTCCAAGATTTAAAGAGGGAAAATGTAAAATAAAATTTTCTAAGATTGGTTCATAAATGACAAAATTCGAAACCTAAATGTGCACACACGCACATCCAAAATCAAAGAAAGAAAGGCCCAGAGAATCTAGAACACTGTCAACTTCTTATTCCAAATTTCTGTAGGAAATAGAATGCAGGACTATTTGCACGTATATCAATGCATCAGACAATGCATTAGTGAATAAGACTAACACAAGTATTTGTAAAACAATTAAATATTGATCAATGCTAAATGGATGGTGCTGTCATGTGAATACCCATAAGTGATTGCACATGCGACAAAACTCCAGATTTCAACAGAGAAGATACAGTTTTCTTTTCTGCTTTGGGGTTCTTGATACAAAGTATCTTAATTATAAGTTTAAGCAATTCAAATATCATTCCTTATTGTCGCTATAGGGGGAAAATATTTTCCAAAAGTACAGCATTGCTTTAACTCAATAACTCAATATAAAACCCATCTAATTTCTAAGCTGTAATAACAATATTAGAAGAACAAATGCAAATTTGTATAGTGACAATGTCCTCCAAAAAAGTTCCATTAATATAATTCTTTTCAATTTCATTGTCTACAATTGAATCAATCGTGAGTGCAATCAATTTGTTCAGGCACTCCAGCTGACATATGCAAGGATAGCTTCTAACTGCAATGAATACGCGAAATAGATCGTGTATATATTTTACATTAGTTGAAAAGGGTTCTTCTAGAAAGTTTAGTTATATAAAATCTACCTTCCTAAATTCCACTTCCCCTAAGGATGAATAAAATGGAACAAAGTACTCCAAAAAATAATATGGTCATTTGTCTCTTAAACTTTCATTACAGCTTTCACATCTCACAAAATAAATACCTCCATTATAACAGATGCTTCTAACCTTCACCACATCCACATGCAAACATAAACCAAGATAAACTTAAGCTACCCATGATGAGAAAAAGTGAAAGTCCAGCACTTAAAAATCAAAACAAGCTGTAATTAGGTAACAAGTACAATCATCAATAATGTGAATACTGAGGGGGAGAAAAGAAAATCCACAAGGTTGCATGTTAGATATACTGCACAAGTACAGAAATTGAATCTTTAATTACTAAACATTTTGAATTCACAAATCACAAAATGTTCAATACTTAAAAGTAAAAAAACACAAGAAAACAAGCAAAACTATGAAAAATTGAGCTTTAGAAAAATGGCAATAATTAGGATAAGGGGAAAATAACAATACCCCGAGTTGGAGCTTTAACTGGCTGATCTGATGCATTAGCAGAATCGCTAGCAGGTCGCTTTGGCTGCACTCCAAATGCTTGTGCATATGTCTCATCAAACTCCTCAAACAATGCCTTGCGAAAGGCAAAAACTGTAGCTTTATTCTTAATAAATTCAATAGTACTCCGATCACATCCTTGTGGCCCCAAAGCCAACTGCTTCACAAACGCAAGAGTCTCACCTGGCCGAAATGCATCCTGAGCTTTCCGAATTTGATCTACTGAATAAACCCCTGGCTCAAAATCTGGGACATCAACCTCAAAATACCCTGGAACATTAGTTGGCCTAAAATTATACTTGTTCCTACACCTACAAGCCACACCAAGCCCACACCTTCTGCTTGCTTCATCCACAGCCTCCTCGACAGCTTTGACAAAATTCCTTGAATTTGTTTGCTGGGATTTTTCAGCTAGATGGGGATCAAAAGGAATAAGCTCCGCTGGGTCGAACCATCCATAACTGCTATCCCCAAAGAATGCAACTAACACATAACCCTCCCTCCTTGTGCGCCGCACAGAAGATGATGCAAAGGCCTCATTGAAAATATGCCCTGGCCACCACGGGTGTGATTTCACCTTCCCCCACACCATATCGCCAACTTCAAACCCATAAGTTAAAGCCCTAGATGTTCCCACCAGTGCCCCATGCTTCTCATTTGCAACAAAATCATCGAACTCAGACAATAGGGAAGTATAAACCTCTACTTTTGTATCCCGACTAGGTACAGCATATTCTATCTGATCATTTTTAGATTCAAATTCATCTTGCTGAGATTCAAATCGATCATTTTGTAGGTCGAATTGAACGAAGCTTGGGTTATTCTCGTTTCTCACATCATAAACCCTAGAATCCTCTCCCATTTCGCTATCTACATCACTCTCCTCACCAACTCCGGCCATAGCTTTAACCTCTTTGGCAGATCCATTAGTCTCTAAAACCCTAACTTTATCCTCATTCTCGGGAGATCTTGAACCACGCTCAACGCCAGAAACCCTGGCTTTCTCTTCTTCAGGGCTGTCGACACCATCACCCGATACCCTAGCTTCTCCTCTGTTCTGTTCGATTGCATTCGCTTTTGTATCTAATTCACTATCATTTTTTACGATAGAAATCATTGCAAGAGCTAGAGCTAATTCGAAACCCTAGAAAAATATTATTTTAAAGGCTCGAACGTAGTTTAAGCATACCTTTCTTTCCCCGTCCTGCAAAGCGATTGGGGTGGTTTGTTTCATAAGGAAGTGCTAGAAATGGAGGGGTTTTTGAGAGACGAAAATGTTGTGTGAGAGAGAGATAATGAAGTGTTTGGATGGAAAGAAAATCTGGGGAGTGTGATTTTCTCAGGGTTTCGAGATTAAAAAGAGTTAAAAATTTTCTCGTTCAGGTTTTCATTCGATGCGTGATGGTGCAAGGCAAGTGATTGAGACAACTAATGATATGATGCCACGGCATTAGTTTTTGAACCTTTTATGTTTCAGTCAAAAAATTTCCTTCATTGTTTTTTTTTAACTTAAAAAAAAAAAATGACTGTTAGGTGTGTTAGTCACTGTCACCGCTCAAGTACATCCATAAAGCACACCAATCCCCAAGCACTAATGGGAGACGTTACGGTCTTCAGTCCACGATAGTAGAGCCGAGACAGGGCATACCAATCCCCGAGCACTGATGGGAGACGTTGCGGTCTTCAGTCCACGATAGTAGAGTCGAGACAAATCACAAAATAAATCGTAATTTGATCAATGTCTTTATCACCAGGGCACCACCTTAGACAGTAAATTTGAGAAGGGTTTTTTTTTAATATTTTGAGAAGGGTAATTACTAGTAATATTAAATAAGATAATGATATTGTTTGGATTGATAAAATTTGAAAGATAGAATGTATACATTCTATGAATTTGTCAGATTTCTTCATTTGATTGAGAAAAAAATAAAATACAATCAATGGAATCGATAATTCTACCAATAGCCCTAATTTAATTATTTTAGAGGATTCCCATCAAATGTGAGATTTTTTTCTCAATTTAATAGTTTTTATTAATACTGTAATTTAAAGTATTTAATTTTATTCTAAAGTATTTTTTAAATCGATGGAGTATGTTTTTTTAACCAAATGATGATTAATGAATAAATCTGTAGATTCCATATTTCGTCGATCTAGACATCTTTAATATGTATTAGATATTTTTTATCTTTATTTTTTTAGAAGATCAAATGCGAATAAGAAATTAGAAATTTGAGTTAAAAGTCAGGTAGAAAAAACATATACATAATACAAACAAATATGTAAATATTAATAATTCATGAGTTAAAAGTGATTTTACAAAATTCTCTTTATAAAAAAATTATTGAAATGAAATATATAGATATCGATTTACCTCACTAAACCCACGTCTTTACGAGTTAAAATATACTATTTTTTTAATTTATAGGTCAATATAGGTAAATACTTAATAAATAATCATTTTTAAAAAGATAAATTATCGAAAAAAAGAAGTGACAGTAAAAAAAAAAATCATTTAACTTGCGACTAATTTATAAAATTAAAAAAAATAAAATAAAAAAACAAAATGTTGGAATTCTTATAGTAAGAGAAGAGTCAGCAAACAACAAAAATCACACAAAATAAAACAATACCAAACTAAAAATTAACATATCAGTTAATCCTAATTATATGCTTTTATAGCATAATCAACTTAACAAACCATCTACTAACTGATGCTAATTATTGCTTTAGCTAAAACATAACCTGAGAATTAAACTAACATTTGCCTTGAAAGTTTCAATGGTCACCTTATGCAATAGTCAGTCACAGTTGCTACCATTCTCGTGTTGATCGGGTGCTATGTTGGGAAACATATGATCGTTGCTATCATTCTTATGTGGATCGGGTGCTATGCTGGGAAACATATGATCGTTGCTATCATTCTTGTGTGGATCGGGTGCTATGCTGGGAAACATATGATCGTTGCTACCATTCATGTGTTGATAGGGTGCTATGCTGGAAAGCATATGATCATCGTAGTTCTGATCAGACCTGGAGAAATCACCCGATGTATCCATATCCTGCAGAGGAGGAACATTAAAATATTCATTTGAAGGCTTGGGATATCCCTGAAATGGAAGGTTTGGACCTAATACAGGTCCGAATGATGGATTTCCATAACGAAAATGCTCATCGAAAGGTTGAGCAAGTTCATTAAAATGATGAGATGTGACCAAATTAGCGTCCAGATATGGATAGATTTCCTGCTCATAACTTCCAGCAACAGGCATTGATATGGTTTCTTGCTCATGCTCATCATCTTTTGATGAAGGAAGACCTCCAGCTCGAGGTAGAGTTGGAGCATTGAAAGCTCTATCAAACTTCTTGTATATCCTGCATAAGACCCAATCGTCAAGCTGCCACAGAGAATCAAGCGAGAAAATTAGGGTTTAATCAAGAATTGAATTTCAGAAAAAGAGAATAAACAAAAGGTACCTTCATATTATTTTCTCCTCCTCGTTTCTTGTTATGAGGTTCATTTGCTCTATATTCATGCATAATCCAATTAGTCTTGTGACCTTTTGCAGGTTTTCCTTTGTAAAATACTAATGCTCTCCTGAATCCAACTGTAACTCCTCCAATTTTAACGGGCTTATCTGCTCCAGTAGCTTTCCAATATCCATCGCCAGCAGCCCGACTAGGTCTGTCTCCATTTGGGTACTTTCGATCTCTTGGAGTAAAGAAATACCATTCGTTTTCGCCACCTGATTTATAGTTTGCTGCATGTAAATCCATAAATGCACAAATCTTAATGCATTTATTGCATATAAGGTTGATCTTATGGCAGACAAATCCAAAAAATCAATCACAAATTAAAAAAAAAAAAAAAAAGGAAGACAATCCATCAAGAACCAGTATATAAAATTGACCTTATAGCTTAATTAGTTCTTGAAGATTCTAGGGTTTCAAACTTTAACGATATATATATGGAAACAAAAAGCGATAAAAAAGCTATCTATAATTAAATATTTCATATAGAAAATATTTACCTGCAAGATAATCAGGATTATGCTTATATAACTCAACCTCTCTGATCCTATTAGGAGGCAAAGTTTCGTTATTAATTTTCCCTTTGAGGTAACAACCAACAAGCTCTGCGTCATAGGGTCTAAACCTATATCCAGCTGGCAAAGAATCCAAAAACGCTTCTTCTTTATCTACCAAAGACCTAAATCCTCCATTATCAACATCAGCAGAAGCAGAAGCAACGATGGTATTGGTATTAGTACAGTTCCTGCTGTTGTCGTTGCCGATATTGTCATAGACATTATTAACCACAGGATTATGAATATAAGTATCAGGATAATAAAGATCAGTAGCAGTAGGATAAGAAAGTAGATACGTAGAAGGGCAATGGCTTTGATTAATGGCAGTGTTGTACTTAGGGTTTGTTACAGTATCCCCCCGCTTAGGTTGGTTCTCCATCGTAGGACTCTGAGAAGGAGAGAGAAGAGAGAGTTTTTTCTGATTAAGACGTCTGAATGATTTAAAATTCAGAGGTTCTATCAATATAAATATGAAGTTTGTTAATATATCAATTGAAACAAATATTATTTTTTTTGTAATTTTTTTTTATTTTTTTTCAATTCCAATTGATCAATAATTTTTATGCAAAAAAATTATGTATTTCCATGTCCATGGAAAAGAAAGCTTTAGCTTAGCTACCCAGTACTCCGACCCATCTGCATTCCTTTCCTATACGGAAAAGGAAAAAAAAAAAAGAAAACAAAACAAAAGAAAAGAAAAGAAAAGTGAGCTTCGCAAATCTGTTATTTTAAAAATTTATATTTATATTCTTCTCAAAAAATTTTATATTTATATCATTAAATATCGTATATTTACTTTGGGAGCATTCGGATCCACCCATTTGATTTTGTTTTTCCCTACAGGAAAGAAAAAAAAAAAGTGAATTTGGTAAATCTGTTATTTTAAAAATTTATATTTATATCATTAAATATTGTCTATTTACTTTGGGAGCATTGGGCTAGTTTCAGGTTACCATGCAACTTAATATTTTTAGTTTTTTTTTTTTAATTATTATCACTTCAAGAGAATTTGTAATTGAATCATTAAATTAAATTTTAAAAACTTATAACATATGGCCAAACATAATTTAACTATTCAATTTTCACAAAAAAAAAAAAAAAGTTGTGGTTACTCAACTTCAAAACAATGTTGTAGCCCTTTACTATTTTCAGAATTTTACCAGATTTTTTTTTAATTATATATTAGGCCAATAAATTATTATAAAGGGTCTAATTTTCTATATCTATATCTATTTATCTGTACTTCTATCTATCTATACTATATATAAATGTAAGAATATGAGGGAATAATGAGATTTTTGATATTGTCCTCAATGAAATTTAGAATATTTTAAAATAGTCCATAGTCAATTCGAAAATTATATTTTTATATAAATAAGTGTTTGGATGAGTGGTTTGACACTCTTCTCCGTTGGATGAGGTTGAGGGTTCGATTCTTATAGATGTGGTAAATACTTACTGGGTGCATTTTATCCCTTCTTGGATCAACCTGGTGTGAGCAGGATTTAATTGTATATAATTTCTAAAAATTATATTTTAAATAAATAAATATATATAATAAAAAAAGTATACCCTTCTCTTTTTGTTTTTTATGATTGCAGGGTTTATTTGGAGATGATATAATGTTTCTTTTATGTAATCTTTTTTTTTTACTTAATTAACTTTTTTTTTAAAAAAAATTTGTAACTTAGAACAATAGAGAAACAAAATACTTGAATAAATTCATTAACTGACCAATATTGGATTCTAACATGATTTGCTTTATAATTTTCATTTATTGTTTACTTATTTAACCTTTTTTTTTAAAAAAATTGAACTTAGATACAAGAGAACAAAATACTGATAAATTCATATACTTAAGACCATATTGGATGTCAACATGAGTTTATAGGCTTATAAATTGTTTATTTATGTGTTGGTTTTTTTTTTTCCTTAAATCAAATTTAAGTAAATCTATAGCATTATCCATTATATTTATTGAAACTTGAAATTATGATAATTTTTAAAATATATTATTTATGTTATTGTTAAAGTTTTAAAACGAGTGTTCTTATATTTAATAAAAACTTTGGTTACTTTGATTTTCTTTCTTTTTGTTCATTGAATTAATTGTAATACTGTCATTTCTAATTTGTAGAGATTTATAATTCATTGTAGATTCAAGTAGATAGCCTTCTGATTAGTATTTTTTAGTATACTACTCCAAATATGTTACAGTTAAAAAGGAAATAGTGTATTATGAATGAAAAAAAACTAGAACGGATATTTTATTGTTTTTGAGTCATTTATATTGGGTTATCAAGAAGTTTGTGTATTATTCATATATTTCTTTCTCTAATGCAATGGGTAAGAAATAACGTATCACTATAGCCAAAACATTACAATTATTAATTCATTAGATCAATTTCTCATTTTTTTTCCCATTTACTACAATAAAAAAATCAATTATTATTTTCTTCAATTATAGGCTATATATAAGAATAATTAGGATTTGAATTGCAGTGGAAAAGGGATTTAGGAGTTGATGAAGTAATAGATTATTCTTTTATGAAATCTATTCAGGAGTTATAAGAATTGTATTTATAAATTAGGAACTGAAGAAATTAGAAGCTATAAAAGGATTGGATTGAGCTTCTAATTTTTTGAAACGCGGGTATCATTTAAAAAATAGCAAATTAAGTATATAGAAAACATATGTAAATAGCCATACGAAAAATTAAGTATAATAACAATTATAATTTATTTAATCTAAACTCTTAATATTATAAGATAAAAATTAAAAATATAATTTAATATTATATAGATAAAAATTAAAAAAATATAAAAAATAAAAATATAACGAGTAATACGTCATCAAAAAGAACAGTAATTTTAAAAGATTCAATTTAAAAAAAAAAATTATATCCTTTCAAAAAAAAAAATTATATGTATATATAAAAGAAATTTAGAGATTATCAGATTGACCCACATCAGCTATACGTATAATTTTGTTTCCGCCATTTTCGAATCATCAATGTGACGGCCATGTTAAGGCCCAAAAACCTAATGAAAGCAATATGGCCTAAAAAGTTAAATGATAGCACATTATCATTCCCGCACTCCATTGAACCCAAAAGAACAGTTTCGAAGGAACCGTTTCCTTTGCGTCGAGGAACAGATGCATAGCCTTCAAATTTCCATAGCAACATGAAGTCCAAAAATCCAAAGATCATTCGTCAAATTTGATTGGAAAATAATGAAAACCTATACTTCATTCAAGCTATATATTCAATTCAAATACAAATTTTGTGAAAATTGAGAGAGAAAAATATAGCGGCAATGACCACATAGAACTACATAACTTACAATTACAGTACATATATTCCTGCAAAAACCTAGTGGGGTTTCAATCTGGCCAACAAAAACTTGATATTTTTATTCCCATCAAAGAAAGAACTGGGATAAGTAAAACAAAAAAATATTTGATAGAAAAATTGATCAATGAAAACCAATCTAACAATCACTACTTAACAAGGCTTTGACAAAATTCAGTCTTCATCCTTTCTTTGGCTACCAGGAGTTCCTGCTAGCCAACCCCACACACCACCAGAGCCCTCCCTCTGTTTTGCATTTAATGCAGCTTGTTCAGAAGCAGCCTTCTGGCGCTGAAGGAGCTCTAGTTCTTTTTGTAGTGCCTCCATCGTTTGAAGCTTTTGTCTTAGTTCTGCCACATCAACCTGTTGGTCCAAGGAGCCATTAGCATGAGCACATTCCATCAAACATGCAAAAGAGGAACCGTGTTTCTTGATGCTGGTCCTACTTTAAACAACACTAAGCTAAGTCCGCCAGTAGGCAGTCTCAATGAACATCATAAAGCAGCCTCTCAGACTATGAATATATCTGAGAAGTTGCTAGAGGTTCTCAATTAACTAAATTCAACATTGATAGCAGGAGAAGACTACGAGCAAATTAGGTAACTTTTCAACACTTCAAGTAAACAGATATCACAGAGATGATTCTTCATGGAAGTGCTGAACTCACTAGATAACAATCTTTTTGTGCTTCCAGCATCATCGAATGATTGCCAATGTACACAAGAATATGCAGATACAAATAGCGAAATGCAGGAATTAAGACATACCTCTAGTTTGAAACATCTAGACTGCTCAGCAGCAAGTTGACCACGCACAGATTGGAGCTCCTAAAATGTCGAGAAACAAAGTTGTCATTCAGGAAAGAGAAACAACCCCTTATGTACCATGATCCATGGAATTTTAATTAGTGAAAAGCAGATGTTAGTTGATTGAAAATGATAATAAAAGGTATACCAGGAGCTTTAGGAACTACAACCAATCAAAATATTACCTTGTAGAGATCAGTATTACGGGTCTCTGCTTCAGTCAATTCTTGCTTTAATTGATGAGTTTGCAATTTCTCCTTGCTAAGAGATGACTCCAGTTCTTCTTTCTCTGCCTTTAAGGTTGCTAAAATATGTTCACTAGACACTTCTTCTTTAGTTTTCTGAAAGAAACTCAAAATTTTGATTATCAGAAGTAACGTGGGTATACATACACAATAAGGGAGTGTGAATTTCAATATCTGCAGTCAAAAAAAAAAAAAAAAAAAAAAAAAGGGAGAGTGCTGAATTTCATATCTGCAGTCAAAAAAAAAAAAAAAAAAAAAAAAGGAAAAGAAAAGAAAAAGTTCTTGCAATTTGGCATACCATGGGCTCTGGATTCAAGCATTATTCCATAACAAATTTCCCTTATTTTGCTTCTTGGCCCGATTTCAGATTCCAAAATCTTCTGTAAGGGTTTGTTAGTATTAGGTTTACAGCAGAAACCCACTTGTCGGGCCACTGGTGAGTCTTCCACAATCTTTGATTCAAGGTAGACTTGTGGCTTTGGTTTAAAGAACATTGGACCTAATAAATGAGCATCAAATAAATTCAGAAACAGGGAAATGCGAGGAAGAAGCAACACTAAAAGTAGTTTAATATCACACTAACATCATTTGCTGTAACGTCCATTGTATCCCCCAAAGATACAAGAATATCTTAAAAAAAAAAAAAAAAAAAAAAAGGAAAAGAAAAGAAAATCTTGCAATTTGGCATACCATGGGCTCTGGATCAGCATTATCCATAACAATTTCCCTTATTTTGCTTTCTTGGCCCGACTCAGATTCCAAATCTCTGGTAGGGTTTGTAGTATTAGGTACAGCAGAAACACTGTCGGGCACTGGAGTCTCCACAATCTTTGATTGCAAGGTAGACTTGTGGCTTGGTTTAAGAACATTGACCTAATAATGAGCATCAAAAAATCAGAAACAGGGAAAAGTGCGAGGAAGAAGCAACACTAAAAGTAGTTAATATCACACTAACATCATTGCTGTAACGTCCATTGTATCCCCCAAATGATACAAGAATATCTTCACCACTGTAGGAGCTCACGACCAAACTCAAGCCCTGCAATCAGAGACAGATTAAATTATTCCACCACAGCAATTTCCGCAAATGAAAAAGCAATCAGCAAGAAGCCCTCCAATATTTATGAGGAAATTGATTGGAGTACTGAACAAATATTATCAGATTACAAAAATTTCCAAGTGAAAATAAAGCAAATCAAATAATAGTATCGACAACAACATAGTGGTCAATGATAATTTGAGTACTGAAAACTGAAGAATTTAGATGCACTTAGATCATATTCCTTCCCAGAAACCTGAATTACACTGGACGATTTCCATTTACACAAAATTCAAATACATATAATTTGACCATTACCAATTATTTCATACCAGATAATATACAAAGGCATGCATTAAAAGTATATTCAGGTTCAACCTTCACAAAAATGATAAACTTCAGGATGCAAGATAAAACTCAAGCATTCATGCAGACTTTCATGTTTCCAACAATTTTCATGCAGTGGTTCTGTACCAATTTCAGCATCACTCAATGTAAATAGTACTCATTCGCATAAGATACCTCACTGGCAAGAGGAACACGCCCTTCAACAGAAGTCACGATAGACCAAACGAGCGTAGACATGTTCAGGACAACAGTTTCAGAGACCCCTGTAAAGTTAAAAAGAAATGTAGAACATTTATATGATATATTACCAAAAAACCACAACTTAAATATTCTTTTATTGAACATCTGCATGAACATCTTATACTGAACAGAAATATGAAGCTTCGTCCGAAAAATCTATCAGATATGATCAACTTTAGAGTAATGGAAAGGAAAATACTATCAATGGACACATAAACACAGCATAAAAACTGACTTATGGACAGGAACAACATGATTGTGTCACTCTCTTCTGTCAACCATATTAAATTTCATCAATGCACCAATTATGCAGAAACAACTTCAATTCCTAGTTTCCCACCACCAATTTCTTTTTCACTTAATTTTTTGTGCTTATGTTTTTTTTTAGGTCCCTTAATTGAGGTTTTTGTTTTTTGAATTGAATCCATTGCTATATAAAAAGGGAAGATAATATGCCTCCAGCTCCACAAAGGGACTTGAAAACAATCATGTATGATGGCTTTATAAGGGAAAAATCTATAAATCAGGCGAATTTTGCAATTCTATTCGAACAAAGTGAGTGTTAAATTATTATCATTTTTTGTGCCTTAAATGAACGCCATTAGATCTTCTATAGGAAAGGTAAAAAAATAAAAAATAAAAAAAATAGTTCAACAATGTGATGATTACTGGCCTAAGTAAGGTTAGGATCAGTTTCTAAGCATTTGCAAGAAGAAATTTTCAAGTGAATTGCTGCTTGTTTTTTGGGTTTTTGTTTTCAATATTTTCTTTTCTTAGACCAAGCATAAAAGGATTTGGAGTTAAATGCTTAAGATGTAATATTCATACCACTCTTGTTGTCACCACCACCAACAATAAACCAATTCTCTCCAACTGTCACACCTGCATGTCCAGCCCGTGGACTTGGTATTTCCCCCTGTTGTGTGGGTCGTGTCCATTCCATCTGAAAATTCAATACATAAAAGAAATTAGTAACAATCCAAGCACAACAACAAAATTATTCATATTTTTTTTCTTACAGCTTGTAAATCAAGCACGTGCAGATCATTGAAACAAGTAGCATGTGAACCACCACCAAAAATAAGCAGGTAGCGTTCTGCGTGAACTGCTGCAGCATGATCAGACCTTGGAGAAGGAGGCACGCCACTACAAAATAATAAGAGAGTGAATTAATCCCTAAGGTATTTCCCAACAAAAAAATACCTATACTTTTTTCTACAAAATCCATGATTGATTTATAATTAAATATTAAAACCGGTTTAGCATTTGAAACAATGATATGGTATTGGTTCCGACTCCTGAATTGAATCAAATACAAATCCTACTAATTCAGATAAAAGGAACTTCTTCATCATGGTAGAAGAAATTCACAGGCCCTCTACTCAATCAGAGAATCTAAACATCTCATATCATTTTGTAGTTGATAATTTCTGGAGCACTAATACTTCATCAATATTACTCTAATTCGAGACATTCTGACTATCTGTGCATTAATAGACTTCCATAAAAGTTAAATCATTCCTTAACCATAACAAAAGGACAAAATGGTATTGTGTGTGTTTTTTGGGGGGGGTGGGGAGAGAGGGGGGATAGCATCTAAAATTGCCAGAATCATCTTACATAGCATCAATTTCATCCCAAGTCATGGTTTCTAGGTCAAGAATATGTAAATCATTCAAAAGAGATCGCTTCGCATCTTGACCACCAAAAATCACTAAGCTTGTCCCAACAAGACTGACAGATTGACCACCACGTGAGACCTGCAATGCAATAAAAATAATGATTCCTACACTTTTGCAAGTAATCAGTACCACTAGATAAACATCTGAAGGGGAAACTGCAAGTGTGCAATTACTCCTTTTCTATTCAAAATTTGATTTTCACAAATCCAATACAAAATTTGATTTGAAGTTTCACAGTGTTAGTTTTGGCTCACAATCTTGCAGCAAAACTGACAAACTTGGCAAAACAATAACTGAAATTTGGTTTCAGTTTCTTGAATGTCAAAGAAACATAAGAAAGGCAGACACAGCCCTTCCAGAATAGAAGGTTAAGAATTAAGATTACAGAGTACAATAATTAATTTCCTTCTTGTTAGTCAATATGGGATGGAAAAGGAATATTAGAGAAATAAAAGATTTTCAGTTAATTTCCTTTATTTTGGTTTACAGAAGATGTTTCAGTTATATACCGGAGCTTTCCCATATGTCTTTAACGTTGACCAACAACGAGTTTGTGGATCAAACACCTTCACTGCCATAAGAAAGTAATAAAGCATCAAGTGAGTTGTTGCAAATCACAGAAATAGACATCAATAATACTTTACATACCCTGGATGGATTCAGAAGGATCCTTGGTGTGTCCAGCAATTGTTAGAAGCTTATTCTCCCAAGGTATCTGCAAAACACAAAAGGTATCATACATTACCTCACTGGATTGAAATCAATATCAGATCAAAACTTAATTCCACAATAATATGATGCAAAAGTGGCACATATTTGTGAGAATCATGAATTAGAGAAAGTCAGTAAAAGACTAACCAAGGAATGGCCAGCACAAGGAGTTATAGTAGCAGGGGTTTTCGATCCATCCGACTCTTCCTCAATCTTAGCATCAACCTTAGACCAAGCCCAGCTTCTCAAATCCAGTACCTGCATTGTGCTTCAAACTTTGAGATAAGTTCTTTAAGAAGAGGCATTCATAGAGGAAGAAACTGAGAGTTTACAACCCTTTACAAAGGTAAAGAGATACGCATAACAAATAAGTAAGAAAGCCCAAAAAACATGTAATGCATAAAACAGCAACAAATTTTCTACGTAAGTAAAGTATTTGAACGTCAGTTCAATAGACTGACAAAGCATTTCAGGATCAGTTAAGTTCCTAGGGACTCCATTTAAATCCAACAAGTTGGTATTTGATTTAATTCATACACAATAATAAAACTCCAGTCTATGAAGCACTCACAATCATGCATGCATAAGTGAAGATAATTTGCTTACATGAAGATCATTTAGATAACGGCCATTGTGGTTCCCCCCATATATATACATCTTGTCTTGAATAATAGCCGCATCATGCTGAAAAACATGAAAGATTTTGTTCAGAGCAAAAGATGGATAGGAAAACAGTAGAAAAACAAATAAATAATAATAATAATAATAACTAGAAATACCAAGACCAAAATGTACTTAAAAGAGATAAAAGAGTAGTAGACAAGCAACCTCATATCGGGCTTTTGGGCGTTGGCCAGATATTGGGGGGGCAATCCATTGATCGTACACAACAACTGAACCAAGGCCTTCTGAGACAACATCTTTATCCTGAGTTTCTATGACAGTCCCATTCTCACTGGAAGTGGTCTTTGTCTCTGGAAAAGAGTTTCCATTCTCGACAACAGCCTCAACTTTTGAGTTATGCTACAGCAAGCAAATTTGAAAATATACATGAATGCAATGACACTGAGATTCTTGACATTCTTTCAGATTTATTTTTCATATTTTTCACATTCTTTCAGCTAGCAAAAATATCGATCAAGAAAGCATGCGGAAGAAAATAAAAACTAGGAAAAAGTGGTGCGCCACTGATAGAAATGAAAATTAACTCCAGTGTATAATCCTGAAGGTACTCACATTCATTTGCACGTCTACAACAGGCTCTGAAACAAAGTTAGATGCTCTAGAATACCAACCCGGATCTTCTTCCTGCCAAGAATAAAATACTAATGATAATAATTGGTCCATATTCCAGATAATTCATTAAAACATGAACCTGAGAATTCCATTGCTATGGACCTCCAATATCTTCACAAACAGACGCATTGCTTCAGTGGAAGCCATATTGGCAAGCCCATGCCAGCTGCACAAATGCTAAAACTTTTAGAAGAGCACTCTCAAAATAGTAGACAGAGTATTATAATAACAATGGAAATACAAAATACAATGTACATCAAACTGTAGAATATTTGTGATACACTACCTAAATCTTGTAGTATCCTACCACTTGAGACTTTATAAATCCAACCAGTTGGAAAGAAAAATGTATAACACACGCTACTCACCTACCACAAGTGCGAATGCACATACACAGATCAGTTTATCAGCCTAGTTGTGCATTGTTTTGATTACCTTTCCCTATAGCCTACCATATTACTCAATTCTCCACAAAAATAAAATGATCTTTTGTTTCACATTCGCTTTTATCCTAACAAGTTTTGTCCCAATTTTATTCACATAATTGCTCCTAGTTTCCAGAGCATATATCTCCAGTAACCCGAGAAGCACCAAAATAACTGAGACATCATCAAAGTAGATGCCCATGAAAGATATGCTGATTGCGATGCGTGGTTTGTGAATTCATAGAAAAAAAATAAACAGAATAAACAAGCATAAGCACATAACAAACCTCTTCCATTTGCTTTGTTCTACAGCATTCCAAGTGCTTGGTTTTGGTGTATTACATGGTCCTGCAGTAGCCTGCAACACATATAATTTGCATGAAATAATCACCAATGAATAGTCCAGATCCAGCAAATCCACTCAAAAACCTATTTACCAACTTAATGCATACCAACAGATCAGAAAGCCAATACCAAATTGATATTGTAAATGAAATTAAGAACCGAATCTGACAAAAAAATTCAATCTCAAACCAGCCAGTGTCCATTTGCAGAAAGAAAAAAGGTAAGGAAAAGAAAGCAAAACCACATAATTCACTTCAAATAATCTCAATTGCATCAAAGTTCATGTTCAAGACTGCAGACAAGCATTCTGAATGCCTAAGTGTCATTCACTAATACTAGATCCACCCAAAGTCCGGACTCAAACAGCTCCAGAAGAAGCAGCATTACACAACATAGGTCAATAGAGCCAATTAAAGCAAAGAAACAATTGCACTAAAACAGCAACACTGCGGGAAATGACTTCCAAGCTCTTTCACAGATTACAAGTACTCAATTGTTTGTTATAAACCAATAATATTTAGCAATATAGCAATTCAGCTGAAAATTAACATCAACAAAATGAAACGAAATTCGTGTAAAACAAACAAGAGTACCATTGCAAAGAGTGCAATGATACCGCCAGGAATTAAAGCGAATAAGATCGCTCCAAATCATCAAACGTCAAAAGTCATTGGATCGGAGATAAGAAAACGAGAGCGAAACATGAGAATTGAGGAGCTACCTGCTGGTACAAGGCGTAAAGGAGCAAAGCGGTGTCGTTTTGGAACTTAGAGGAGACAATATTGGTGGAATTTGGAGATCCATCAAATCCAGCGTATGCGGCGGCCGCATAGAATCTCTCCGGGTATGCGAGGCCAGAACTTGCCCTCGCCATAGCCATTTATTCCTCCTCCTCGCCCTCTCTCACTTAAGATTTGATTTGAGACTGAGAAATGACTATGGTTTATGCTTGTGTTTCAAGGTTCGAAGGGAAATGCGTGTTAAAATAAAAAAATGTTTAAGCTTGTATTAAAGTGGCACGTTAGGTGGTTTTGTGTATTGGCCCAGTTTGGGATTTGGAAATTTGTTTCTGTTTCTGTAAAAGCTCGAAATCGGATATCCTCGCTCTTCTTAACTTCCTTTCTCTCTCTAATTGTGCTCGGTAATATCTACATTTGATTTAGAAAAAAAGGCGAAAAAAAAAATTTGGGAGATCCATGTTTACCTCCCTGATTTTATGATAATTATGTTTTGCACCTCGGAAAAAATGAAAATTTATTTTTATAGCCCTCGTGGCTTGAGCCCGTAACCGACACTGCCGTTTAGCCATTGTCGTCTGGCAGTCCTTTTTGGAGTCGGGTAACCTGAGGATTGACTCTCAGTTTACGTGATTCATATCCGATTCGACGGATCAAATAAGATTCAGTTTGATTAAAGATGGATCAGAAATAAATATACACCTACTCGATTGAATCTATTTTAAATTAATTAAATTGTTTTTTTTAATAAGCTCTTTTTAATTATTATATTTATTTCAATTTGATCAAATCCAACTTGAAGTGAATCTAAATATGACGCAATTAATTGCAGAGTTATTATTTCATGGATATTAAATTTTCCTTGCATATGAAATTCGAAATTACAAATGTTGTATTCGAAATTTACCATATAATATTTAGTATTTTGACTATTTCTATTATTTTATAATGTTCTATAGCATAATATTTTTATTGTTTATAGTATTTAACGGTATAATTTATATTAGTGTATAGAGTTTGAAAGATTAGATTATAAGATGTTACTCTCTTTAACATTTAATAAAACACTGGTCAAATAATTAATAAAATTTTCCATTACAAGAGTCTATTATAAATAAAATTTATTATGAATAGAATTTATTCTTTAAATAATATTAATTTCATTTTTATCCATGTGAAAGTTGAAATGAGCTTATTACCGTGTAGAGAGGCATACACTATTCAATATTCAAGTTTTTTATTTCTCGCAATTTTATTTTAGAACATCATATTTGTTGATTCAAAAATGTCAAACTTGTTAAATAGTTTTTGAATAATATTTTATATTTTATATTATTTGGTGATTATAAAATTTGACTGCATTATAAATTAAGTGAATTAGAAATATTTATATTCAGGCTATTAATGTGTTATAGCTTAAATAAACACAATTATCTTATTTTATTTGAAAAAAATTATTATCACCGATTGTCACAATTCAATCGGTCGTACGATTGTTTTCTTGAAAATTTATTATTTTTTAGAAAAGTGAATTTCTATAGAAATGTTGAGTTTTCATATCTAAACATCCCTTGGTAGGAAGTGACAAAAAAATAAAAAGGATAATTTTGATTAATTGATTTTTAATTAAAATAAAAATTGATAGTTTATTTCAAAACATTCTAAAATAGAAGGTGAACTACTTTAATTTTTCAATTGAAAAGTAATTTTTTATTTTATAAGTTAATTTAAAAATAAGTAGCTAAGTATTTTTGCAAAATATTTAAAAAATTATTTTTAAATATATAAGTATTTAGTTAATAGGTATTTAGAACTAGGCAGAAAGTACTTAAAATAAACAGATAATAAAAACAAAGGATTATCTAATGAGTTTGGACTCAATTTAAGTTTTTTTTTTTAACTAAGTTATTAAATCAAACCTATAAATAATTTCAAAAATTATTTTAAAATCGAGGGAATAAAAAATATTGAAAAATCAGATAAATCTCTAAAAATTAATATTTTTAGCACACCTTTTTTTTTTTTTTTTACTAATCTTATAATAACTTCACAGTGACGTCCTTATCCTTTAAGGTTTAAACTTCGTTAATTTGACAAGAAGTTAAGCAGAGGTAACTTTTCACTCTACACTACAGGCTTCCGTTTCTGGGAAATACAGTTGTCTGAACCAAAAGAAATAAGCAGAAAGCTTAAAAGAAAGAAAAAAACGAAACCGCGTAGTTTGGACTTTGGACTGGGAGCGGTAACTGGAGAGAGAAGACAGGCCAAGGCCAAGCCTTCCATTAAAATCTGCGGAACTGCGGATTCCTAAATCCTAAAGCTATTATCGAAAACGATGATTAGGACACTTTTCCTTTTATATACTTTCCTAACTCGTTTTCCCAATTTACACTTCCAATTCGCTCCGTCAAACCCTAGGCTGAGGTACTAAATCCCCTTTCATTCTTTATGCGTATATATCTATTTATCATTTTTGTTAAGTGTTTGATCTTTCGGATTAAATTCATTGCTAACGTTTCGTTTATTTCTCCATTGTAAGCTTATATTGCTTCTTTTTCTTCTTCCTCGAGATGTTACCTAATTGTTGAATTATTTCTCTAATTTCTGATCTGAATTGCTTCATTCGTTATAAAATCGTAGTTAATTTATCCAATTATGATTATTTACGCGTAATTAAGGTTATGATTTAGTTACACTATACTTCTCCTTCTTACGCGTCTTTATTCGTTAGTGTATGAGAGTTTTTGTATTATATTTGTTTTAACTTGATTACCTAATAATGGGTTCGTTTCTTTCATGTTACCTGCTGAAGCGTTAACTTTCAAGTATTGGTGTTGTCGTCTTCTAATGCTAATGCTAACAGAGTGCATATGTACATGTGTGTGTATATATGTTCGTCACTATGGTGTATATGTTGCCAAGATGCTTTGTATCAGAAAGAGAGAAAAACTTTTATGCTTCTGGTATATCTGCAGAACTCAGAATTTGAATTATTGTTATACTTCTCAAATTGCTTCTTCTAATGTTAATTAACAGTTCTGCATAAGTCTTGGAAAAATTAACAGGTTTACCTTTTCCTTTAAAAACTTAATTAAGTTGGCCTATGAAATGGTGAGTGACAAAGCGATTGAGAAGACAGCAGAGCAATTCAAGTTATACTGCTTTCAACCTTGCAGGGATTATATAATTATACTTTTCTGGTTCATCAATTTCATGGCATTTTGCATGATGTATAATTTGGGTTGCTCCTCTCCCTTGTGTGTGTTTGATCATCTGTCTTTTCTTTTTTGCAGCAATATACTATGCAATATATATAAGTTTATACTGCTTTCAACCTTGCAGGGATTATATTAATTATACTTTCTGCGTTCATCAATTTCCATGGCATTTGCATGGATGTATAATTTGGGTTTGCCTCCTCTCCTTGGTGTGTTGTTTGATCATCTGTCTTTTCTTATTTTGCAGCCAAATATACTATGCAATATATATTTTATAATATATATATATATTATTTTTTTTTTTTTTGACCTTGTAAAATGGTTCCTTGAATATGCATTTCAGCCGTCAAAATTTATGATTAAAGATTTTTTTTTTTTTTTTTGACTTGTAATGGTTTTGAATATGCATTCAGGTCAAATTTATGAGTGCAAAACTTTAGTATTTATCTCTTTGCACTTTAATACAAAGTGACTATGATGGATAACCCAAGATCAGCCTCTGGTAATGGTGAGGATAATGTTGGGATTCCTGATGATTTGCGATGCAAGAGGTCAGATGGGAAACAATGGAGATGCACTGCCATGTCTATGCCAGATAAAACAGTGTGTGAGAAGCACTACATCCAGGCAAAGAAGAGGGCAGCTAATTCTGCTTTAAGGGCTAGTCTAAAGAAAGCTAAAAGGAAATCACTGGGTGAAAGTGATATATACTTGGAGAGTAAGAATGATGATTTTGATACACCACTGATGAACATGAAGGTTGATGACTATCCTCTGTCAGTCTCCACAAAGAAGTATAAAGAGAGGGTATCAAAAAATCATGTTCAATATTCTCCTGAAACACCCATAAGGAGTTTGTCTGTACGCGGTTCTCTAAAGCCAAATGATGATTTCCAAAGAGATGTGGAGTTTGAAGAGAATTGGAGATCGTATAAAACACCATCCCTTTCTGCAATGGATTCATCCAGGAGTAGATCACAGAGAAGCTTTGATGCCAGTGCTATGACGGTCAGTAAAATTGCACTGTTTTCACACTTTGTTTTGATGTTTTCTGTCACCACGTTTTTCTTAGTTAATGTGAAAGCTGTTTTATTCAGTTAATGCTTGGATACTGAAATGAACAAGTCACTTTCAGGAATACTCTGATGGAAGCACAGATTCCTATGAAGATGCTGGAGGACAAATTTGCCATCAGTGTCGAAGGAATGATAGAAACAGAGTAATTTGGTGTCGCAAATGTGATCGAAGGGGCTTTTGTGATAACTGTATTTCTGCATGGTGAGGTTGAATTTCTTAGATAGATGTACTGTATGCTTCCGAGTCATAAATATAATAGATATGCTTGCTTTACTTCTAGGTACCCGGACATTTCAATGGAAGAAATTGAGAAGGTTTGTCCTGCATGTCGTGGCATCTGTAATTGCAAGTTGTGCTTACGAGGGGATAACATGGTGAAGGTATTACTTTTGTTGGATTTTTGTTATATTATTATCATATGTATATTTATTGGGAAAAGATATTTGAACTCGAGTTTCCTTTTCACAGAGGAATGATGTTGTTTTATATGAGATGCAGGTAAGAATAAAGGAGATACTTGTCCTGGACAAGTTACAATATCTATACTGTCTATTATCTTCAGTGCTTCCTGTAGTTAAGCAGATCCATCACGATCAATGTTCAGAAGTAGAACTGGAGAAAAAACTTCGTGGTAGGGTGATTCTGACATTCCTGTGAAATCTGGATTTTTAATTTTTGTTTGACTAATTGGGCGTCTATGTTTTCAGGAAATGATATAGATCTTGTCCGAGCCAAATTGAATGCAGATGAGCAGATGTGCTGGTATGTAAAGATCACTCATGGACTGCTTAATTTACTTTTCTTCCTGTAGAAATTGTTATTTTTGTAGTTATGTCATGTGCTTATTTTTCTTTTTTAAACAATGCAACTGGTAGGTTGGTCTCTCTTAGTTGTAAACAATTTCATATTTGAATCTGTATTTCTCTAATCAACATTCTCCTGGAATTAATGTTTATTATATTAGTTTAGTTCATAAAGTTGATCTTTTATCGAACTTATTTATGGGTTCAATTTCATGGTGTACAAGTATCATATATGCTTCTTTGAAGAACTGCAGTTCATTGTCATATGTTCTCTTGCAGCAATATATGTAGGATACCCATCATTGATTACTATCGGCATTGTGCAAATTGCTCATATGATCTGTGCCTTCATTGCTGTCAAGATCTTCGGGAAGCATCAGTACATGCTCCAGTAGAAAATCAGATGGGTCGTAGAAGTCAAGAAAAAGAAACCATGCCAAAGGAAGTGAAAGAATCCAGACTCGGACTTAATTTATCTGATAAATACCCTGACTGGAAGGCAAACCCCGATGGCAGCATCCCATGCCCGCCAAAGGAGTATGGTGGATGTAACTATTCATCATTGAATTTAAGTCGTATTTTTAAGATGAACTGGGTGGCAAAATTGGTGAAAAATGTGGAGGAAATGGTCAGTGGATGTAAGGTCTGTGATGTTAGCACTCTGGCAAATTCTGGATTAAAAGATTCCAAGCTCCATCAGTATGCTCACAGGGAGGACAGTGATGATAATTTCTTATATTGTCCATCATGCGAAGATATAAAAGCTGAAGGGATAAATAATTTCAGGAAGCACTGGGCTAAGGGTAAGCCTATTATTGTGAAGCAGGTATTTGATAGCTCGTCAATCTCAAGGTGGACGCCGATGATCATATGGAGAGGGATCCGGGAAACATCAGATGAGAAAATGAAAGATGAGAACAGAATTGTGAAAGCTATAGATTGTTTAACCTGGTCTGAGGTACATTCTGTGCTGTAAATTTATGTTAATTGTTCTTTGTTTTTGATGCCAGTAAACTAATTGTTATCTGTCAAATACTGTCACTCTGATCTATTTCGTGTGTGCTTTGATGTTGTGAGCAGGTTGATATTGAACTCGATCAGTTTATAAAAGGATACTCAGAGGGACGAATCCGTGAAGATGGTTCACTAGAGATGTTGAAGTTGAAGGATTGGCCTTCCCCTAGTGCTTCTGAAGAGTTCTTACTATACCAAAGACCTGAATTTATTAGTAAACTGCCTCTACTCGAGTATATCCATTCAAGGTTGGGTCTCCTAAATGTTGCTGCAAAGTTGCCTCATTATTCATTGCAGAATGATGCTGGACCCAAGATTTATATATCGTATGGGTCCTATGAGGAACTTGGTAGAGGTGATTCAGTGACCAATCTCCATTTCAAGATGCGTGATATGGTGAGTACAATTTGCATCTCTAAATTGTATACTGCTGTTCATTCTAGAAATTCAAAAGCATTGGAGGATCAAAACTTTAATTCTTACATGAGAGTTAGCATTTGCTAATATTTTTTGCATTCAAGCTTTCATTTGAATATTACATGCAAATTAAAATCTATATGCACTAGAGCCTGGAGCTGAATTCTTTTTTATGTGATTATTCCACTGGATTGCCAAAAGCATTCAGCACTTCTTTGGTTTCTTGCATAGAAGTGCCTTTGGTTATGTTATCAAACACAAAGCCCAACAAGGAGAACTTTTTTGATCGTTCATCTTTTCCTTTTTTTTTTTTTTTTTTTTTTTTTTTTTTTTTTTTTTTTTGATTAGAAAATATGGTTGATAGAATAATTGTGGGTTGACATTCGGTTCGAGTTCGTATGCAGGTATATCTTTTGGTGCATACACATGAAAGTTAAACTTTTTTTTTTTTTTTTTTTTTTTTTTTTTTTTTGTTTTTGTATCTAAGATAGAAAATATGGTGATAGAATAATGTGGGTTGACATTCGGTCGAGTTCTATGCAGGTATATCTTTTGGTGCATACACATGAAGTTAAACTGAAGGGTTTGGAGGGGAATGAGCCACCTGACCAAGAGACAGACTTGGATGAGGGAAGGTTACCTGATTTATCTTGTGGCGGCCATGATTTACAAAATAAAAGAAATGTTGTTGGAGATGAGGATGAGAGAATGGTGGAGGATGAAGCAATTGAGAGAATTGATGATCTAGGGGTTGAAACTGACACAATTCAGGATAAAAAATTAAAGAAAGATGGTGGATATATCTCTGCAGAGACTCATCCAGGAGTTCACTGGGACATATTCCGCCGGCAGGATGTTTCAAAACTAATTCTTTATTTGCAAAAGTACTGCAAGGACTTTGGGAAGTCTGAAAATATTGGAAACCACTTTGTAAGTTTATCCACTTAGTCTCACAAGTCTACTTTGTTTTTAGGCTAACACAGATGGCTTCTGTAAAATGAATGCTATTAATCTTTTTATGTGGATACCAGGTGACACATTCTCTTTGTGAGGGAACAGTTTTCTTGAATTGCCATCAAATTAGAAATTTGAAGGAAGAATATGGTGAGAAACATTGGCAATTCTCTCTTTTTTTATAAAAAAAAATTGTTTGGGCTTATTTTGGAGGAGTTAGTTATATGACCATCTTACTGGTGTAGCACATCTTTTATCTGAGATCTTTATGTTCTACACTGGCTGCAAATGTAGCTCAGTATGATGCTAAGGTCTTACAAACTATTTCTTCACTTGTATAATTGCCTGGCTAATAGTCTTTTTCAGCCAAGTTTAGTTGAAACTCTGTATTGGATGCTAATTATTTTCTTTCTAGAGGGACTTTTTACATTTTGCTTGTTTTCACACTCTCTAAACATGCAGTGCTGCTGTGAGGAGTTTACTTTATTCTTCTCCAAGTAACATGAATCTTGTTATGTTATTGATTTGTTGCTGTTTCTTTATGTTGATAATGTCGAATGATGGATGCATTTTATCATGTTTACATTTTTGTTGATAATGCAGAATTATGGATCCATTATATATTTCCTAAATGGAAACTATTACGGTGTCTTTTTCAGGAGTGGAGCCATGGTCGTTTGAGCAGCATTTGGGGCAAGCTGTCTTTGTCCCTGCTGGATGCCCTTTCCAAGTGAGGAATCTTCAGGTAACACATTTTCACTGATTATCTCCATCATTGGACATTAATATAACTTTGTATGTCTTTGTTTTTTCCTAAATCAAGGTAATTCTAAATATCTTGACTTTTGAATGATGAAAAAAATCAAATATAAATCTGAGCATTTCAAACTGGATGGGCCACAATTGACTATTCCATGCATTGAATGGTCTATTATTTGTTGTCTGTTGTTACTTGTTAGATCACTCATTTAAAATGGAAACCAAACATACGTTTTTCTCTTTGGGGAGATGTAATTTCTTGTATACTATGGTGTAGAACAATTATTTGCATTAATTCATTAAAGAGCTCAGGCAGTGTTGGTTAATGGGGAAAAGTATTGTTATTAGATAGAGCTTGCTCAGCAAGTGAAAAGTTTGTCATTGGACAAGAAGCTTCATTTTCAAGACATAAAAAGCAGAATGTGAAGAAGAGAACAAGAGAGGGAGAAAAAGGGAAAAAAAAAAAAAGTGTGATTCGGTTTATTAATTATTAATTCTAATAGTCTAATAGTTAAGGGATCCCTCGGTTCATATTCCGATGAAAAACTTAATTTCTTAAAAAGATTTAATCCTTTAAAAGAGAAAGAACCGATTTTGTTAGTTGTGATTCACTGTAAACCCCTTCTTGAATTTGTAGATGGAATTTGAAAGAGTCTGGGTTGTTGGCTTAATTCATAATTCCACTGAAACTCTGGCATTTATTTTATTCATTGTATTTTCTTGCATGAATTTGCAGTCCACGGTTCAGCTGGGTCTTGATTTCTTATCACCTGAAAGTGTGGGGGAGGCTGCTAGATTAGCTGAGGAAATTCGCTGTCTTCCAAATGACCATGAAGCGAAAATTCAAGTTTTGGAGGTCAGACAAAGCGAATTTTCCTTAAAAGTATTAAATGTTTCCTTTTTCTTGAAATTTTTTAAATTGTTTGCATTTGTGACTTTTCTTCCAATTGTTTATTTCTTGTCCAGTTTATCTCAATAGATTTTCTTAATCTTCTACTGGATCTGGTCACAGGTTGGAAAGATATCATTATATGCTGCTAGTTCAGCCATTAAGGAAGTGCAGAAATTGGTGCTTGATCCTAAGTAAGCAAATCAGACCTAAAATTTGCCTAGTGTTTGTTAAGTCAGTATGTTGGAGCTCCGATATTCTTGATCCTTCTAGCTAAGAAAGAGAAATGAAATGGTATATTTTCATTGATCCATCAGCCTGATGTCTAGGGCTCGGAGGTTATGCTAATGGGGTTTACTTCGTGTTGTTGATTCTCCTCTTTTTCTTGTTATACCTATGTCATCCCTTTTATCTGTCCTATGCACCTTTTGCAGGAATACTAAAATACATCTGTTTCTCTTGCAGACTTGGTGCAGAGATTGGATTCGAGGATCCTAATCTAACAGCAGCAGTTTCTGACAACTTGGAGAAGGTTTCTAAGCAAAGAGAGATAAGTTGTGCTTGAATTAGTGTACAGTAATTGTAATTTAGATATAGGAAATTGATTTTTAGGAGTAGTATATGGTGCTTGGTTAAATTTAAATGTATAAATGTATTTTATATGTAAAATATCATGTAATGTTAGTTGCTCTGGATTTCTAGCTGTATTGATTGTTTACCTTGTTTTTCAGTCATTGTGGCAATTGTAATGTCATTGGAGATAAATGAAAGAGAATAGTTCAGCATATGCCTGGATATCATATTGCTTTTACTGCTATAAACCGGAAACTTCTCGGAACTAGCTGTCCAGAAACATCAAATCGTTTAAAACTAGATAGCCTGTGCGATGTGAGTGTTTCTGTTATTATTTCATACTAAATGTTATATCAAGACACTAGACTGAATGATTCTGCAATTCTGCGAAAGTCCGGTTCGATATTTTGCCATGCAGATTCCGGTGCTTGAGCATTTAAGGTATATAACCTGCCGCCACGAGCACAGCAGACAGCTACATTATGCCTCTGAAACAAGGGGCTTTCAACTCTAAATTCCAGCTCAAAGTAATTGACATTCTTTGAAGGATTCTCTCTCAAGCTTGATTTTATCAAAGTTCCTTCTAGGTCTGACCGTCGACGGGATGCCGTGATCGTCTTCACCAATGCTTCACCCACTTCCTTTGGTCCGCCAAAGGCTTCGATCCTACAGTATATAAATAGCTTTAAAATTAGTTTTAAATATTGTTAAGAGTTGAAATTAAAAACAACAGAAGAAAAAACTCACGAGAAATCAAGAGGAACTGGTGAGACAATGACGCTAACATTGAGCTCGCCACTTGAACCAGGCGGGCCAAACGCAACAACTGGTTCATTTACATTGTTGCGCCGCCGATCACTTAATTTGACATTATTATTTAAAGGAGGTAGATCGAGTGACCTCTCAAATTCTTTCTTCTCAACTGCTCGATACAGTAGCGTTTGATCTCCAACCCAATTTGATGGATATACGAATTCTGAGCATTAAAGTTAAAAAAAAAAAGGAAAGAAAATTGTTTCAGCTTTCTCTGCAACCAAACAGATGGAACTAGAGACAAACGAAATTAAATTCATAATGTGAAATAAAAGTGACTTACTAACCGAATCCTTCATTAGTTTGAATACAACGGCTATACCCTCCAATTGGATAAAGCACATCAAGCTTAAGATTCCGACCAGTTTCCGGTGATAACCCAAGTAGAAAACTCGTAACTCCACCAAAATTTGCACCGACCGCCACTAAGGAAGCTGAACCAATACCAACAAGTAGTCGCCGCCTAAAATTTGACGCCAACGGAGCGAATTGCTCTGCGGGAGGCCTCGCCATTTCTTGGAAACTCTCTTTCCTTTCACCGGAGGATTTTGTCATGTAAATCCGGCTATAGATTGGGACGTTTTTGCATGCATGAAGATGAAGGTAGTGTTGCAATGCCATGAATGACCAGTGTTTAGTTGACAATTGCACGACAAGAAGACATATTTTGGTGGCGTGGTTAATTTTTTCTGACTACAAGATATGCTTACAGCCACACAAGACATGACCCTTTTGTGGCAGAACTTTGCAGTCCAAAAATAACTATGGGCTAAGAATTTCACTTGCAGCATTATCTTTGAATAGAAAAGAAAATAAAAATTTTAAATCTTGAAATCAAATCAAATATTATTCTTTTTTTTATATATATTTTTAACACAATAATTGCATAAAAACAAATATCCCATAGCAATTAATTAAAAATAAATTAATTGCAATATCCTTATTTGTGTAGGCTAAAATTTTTTCATCTTTGTATGAATAAAAAAAAAATAGTTAACAAGAACTAAATACATTTTTTCTCAATCAAAACCTCAAGTTTGAGTACCGTGCAAAATTTGAATTAGTTGAGTCAATAAAATTGGGTACCAGATAGTTAAAATATATATATATATATAATCCTACGAATCTCTTTTATCATTCCATGTATAACTCCTAAGTCTTACTGATTATGATAAGCCCCTTGCTGTTTTTGATAATTTACACGTAGCCACTTACTACAGTACCGTTTAGTATTAATTAACGGTTTGTGATAAGTGACTTGCCGTTTCTGGGAAGCACACGTGGTCATCCAACGAGTCAACTACTATTCTTTAGTGTGTTGCTTGGTTCAGAAAGCGCGACTCTTTTCTCCGTCGAACTGTCGTTAATTCGCGAGGGAAACAGAAACTGCCACTGTTACAAATTCCATAAGCTAAGGACAGAAAACAAAACAAAGAAATATATTACAGGATTTTTTCTTTTTTTAAAAGTTCATTTTACTCATATTAAATTGCTAAATTTGAGCCAAAAATCCTCGTCTTCTTGCTCTTTAGCAAGTGAGGTTGATACATGGCGGAAGGGAAACTTTTTTTTTTTTTTTTTAAAGTACATAGAATTCAATTATACAAATGAGGACTAGCTAGCTAGATGTTCTGAATAACTTTATTTTTTTCAGATATCCCACATGGGTTTTTCCAATGCTGATGCTTGTTGTTCGAAGTGACCCAAACCTTGCATTCTTTGATGAGCCATTCCTCTAAACTGATCCATTTCTTGTTTTTGATGTTCCTGAAAAATACTCCTCTGTCTTGATCCTCCTACTCCCAAGAAATCAACAGTAGTCATCACGTCCCCACTAAATCTTGATAACCCACTTCGAATGTGGCTATTATTGTTCTTATTATTGCTATTTTCTTGCTGAATATTCTTGAATAATGCACTGTTTTGTTCTAAAACCCCATTGAACATACCCAAATCATTTGCAACCATCAAATATCCACCATCATTGCCACGTGTCACTCGATCATCATCATCAAATGTTGATGGTGCCATGCTAGTAGAAGTGACAAAGCTCTTATGGGTATTCATGGTAGGAGAGTTCAAGTTAGTACTAGCTGTAGTTACACCCATTTGAGCTGCTTTTTGTAGCAAAGCAGTTGCAGACATTGAAGCAAACCCAGCTGCCAATAAATTCCCATTTCCTTCAAAACTTGTCGATGATGAATTGGCATTTAACTGAAGGGAAGATGGAGAAGTATTATTCGCCATTATTAAATTTCTTGCACCACCAAATAGGGTTGCTGATGAGGGTTTTGGTGGCAATGGCGTGAGTTCATGTGGCAGAGACAATGGGATTTTTGGGTCAATATGATTAAAGTTTGGGGATAATAAGGTAGATTGATCTTCATTGCTGTTTATAGGCATGGATATAAGGTTTGGTCCAATAGTATTATTATTAATATTACTGTTGGGAATTAATATTCCTTGGTTTGCTTTATTTTTTTCTTCTGTTAGGGCATCACAAAAAGCCCTATGAGTGATGAAGCTATCCCTCCTGCATTGTAACCCAACTTTAATTAACCTAATTAATAAGTTAATCTATACATAAAAACACACATCAATCATTATTATATTAATCATAATAATATAATACTAATTATCGACCGTCCAAAGCTAATTATAATATGCATGGGACCACAAGGACTTTGATACTTGGATTAGTCAGTTTGATATGATGAAAAACTTATACTAATTAATTATATTATACTAATTAATTATAATTAAACTGACTGAACAAAAATTTTAAAAAAGAAAAATGAGTATGACTTTTTAAGTAAAATAATGATTTCATAATTGTCCAACAAAGACTCAAACCAAACCTAATTAAGCAATTATTATGTATGAATATGATCAAATCAATGTGCTATGCCAAATTAATTAAAGATATATATCTAACCTAAACCAACGTTCTAATCCTTAATTTGTTCATGAACTATTATTAATTAACTCTAACTAATTCAGCTATGTAGCAATTTAAATAATTAAAACGATCAATTTAAATTAAGAAAATTAGTAAAAACCTGGAGAAAATAGTGCCACAGTCACATTTGTACTCCTTAGTACCGCAGGTCTTGGAATGAGCTTTCCAATCAGATTGAACTGCATATTTCTTAGAGCATTTGTCACATTTCCATTTCTTTTCGCCATGTTTTCGACAAAAATGCTTCTTAATACCAGTAAGATCACCTAATGCTCGAGCCGGATTGTGATGAACACAAGAAGGTTCTGGACAAACATAAACCCTTTTCCTTATTTCAGTGCTCGTTCTTTGCTTGAGCTTCCATGGTAGGTTATGTCCTCTACGATGCAACTGCAGATTTTGGTCTCTCTGGAAGCCTTTATTGCAAATTTCACACACAAATCTGTTTGTAGCTAATAGGGTATTTGGCGACAAAGCAATAACTTCTGCACTAGGGTCTGCATATACACAAAATTAACAAAAATAATTAAATAAATCGCGATCAGTGCACCAAGTTTCTATTGCTCGAACACATGATGAAGGGAATATATGTATGTTTTGGCTTTGGCAGAAACAGTTAAAAACAACAACAAAGAAAAAGAAGTCAACAGTTCAATGCAATTATTGAGATCCCAGCCAATAATTGAAGTCTCTTCAACCACTTATATAACCATTTTTTACTGTTATTGCTTAATTTTTATTTTTTATTTTTTATTTTTTAATACTAACTCTGAAAAAACTAATAATAATAAAAAAGATAGTACCGACAAAGAAAAGGGGAAAAGGGTGATCGGAAAACTGAAAGTCATTTTCTATGGCTCTCTTTTGAATTCAGCTCAATCTGTAAGTGTAATCACATGGTTTTTGGTTTTGTTGTATATGATCCAAAAAGATAATAAATAACATATATATTTCAAGATTAAGAAGTTTAATTAATGTTAAAAATACATCTAATTAGTATGTGTTGTGATTCCTGCTGGTTATGTCGGATGCATGAATCTTTTGTTTCCATCGATTTCAATACATGAAAGGGAAAAAAAATGAACAAGTTCTGAAACATATATATATATATATACATATACACGCTTACCCTTTCAAGAACTAATTAAAAATAATTAACAGAAAAAAGATCAGAAAAGAAAAGTTAATATTCTTGAAGGTAATATCATTTAAAACAGAAAAAAAAATGAATATATATAAATTAAATATACCTGGATTTCCTGGTAAGTTTCTCTTCTTCTTAACTGGTTGTTGAGCAGCTGAGCCATTGCTGTTGGTAGTAGTAATAGTTGTAGTAGTGCTTGAAGCTATGGAATTGAAGTGAGGAACTTCTACTTCTCCAACACCTGCAGTATTATTATTCCCAGAAGAGAAACTTCCACCTTCACCTGTGATATTTGACATTGAAAGAGAAAGAAAATAGAATAAATAAATAAAAAGTTTGAATTTTTTTTTTTTTTTTTTTTTTTGAGAAAGAAAAGTTAGAATAATAAATAAAAAGTTTTGAAATTTTTTTTTTTTTTTTTTTGTTTGGGTTGAAAACCCTTTTTTGTCTTTCTTTCTCTTAAATTTTCCTTCCCATTTTTTTTTTTTTTTTTTTTTTGTTTGGGTTGAAAACCCTTTTGTCTTTCTTTCTCTTAAATTTTCTTCCACCAAACTCTCTTGTTTCTTTTCTAAATTTGCTTATTGGTTTCTTGTTGCTCCCCAAAGAAAGAGATATTGTTTACTGATAAGAAAACAAAAACATAGAAACTAGGGATTTGCAGTGGGTAGAGGAAGACAAAAACCAGGAAATTATCCTTCTTTTCTGGTGGAGAGAAGAGAGAGTTTCTGGCTGTCATAAGCACTGCATCATAAGAACATCTATTGTTTGGATATGTATTGTAATTAATTATTATTAATATATGCTTTATAATAGTATTCTTTTGATTTATATGCCCTTGGCTTTGTTGGGTATTAATGGATTGCCCTTCTTCTATCTCAATACTTTTTTTGAGAATAAATGCTTAATTTTTGAAATCACCTTTTTTAATTCTATAATATACATAGAAATTATAATCTCTAAATTGAGAAAAAAATATTTATTTATTATTCTCTCAAATCATAAGTTGAACAATTAATATATATTTAAATTTTATATTCCTTTTCTAATAAAAATAAATTGATTTCATTACTAAAATTCTTATGATAATAAACAACCGTAGGAGTTTTTTTAATTCATTAAGAGGCCCAAGACACCGATATAATACTACAGCCTACAAAATATGGTGTCTCTTCTTTTGGCTCACTGCATCGGTAAAAATTCTTATATTCGAATTTAAGATTTCTTACTAATAAGATCACTGGCAATTGAATTTTTTTATATTATAAAAAAACTATTCATATTAAAATTAAAAAATTCATGATTTATAACGAATAACTTAAGCAGTGAAGCATATTCAAATTCAGTAATCAATATCTATAAAATTAAAAAAAAAAAATACTTATGGAGAAGTAACTATAAATTTGGAACATGCGAGTGGAAATACTTTAAAAATTTTTTTTAAAAAAAAAAACTTTAAATGGCAATTTTTTACAGTAAATTTCCTATCTACCAATAGTAAGTTTCGTTGGCAGACGTGATGGCATCACCGTCCTCTCAAAATCAGAAAACAACGGTTATGGAATAGCCGCCGAAAGGAGGTGAAATTACGTAAAGGGACTAATTTGTATTTATCACGGACTCACAGGCGCGCATCAAAGTAGAATCTTTCTCGAAAAGAACCCAACAGTAAATACAAAAATTCTCCTTGTTCACGTGCATAACTACGTAAAGATGAAACAAAGCCAACCAGTCTTGTTTCACTCTAAATCCAGGGTTAACTTAGTCAATTACACTCTGCTCCATGATGTTGATGTCTCTCCATGTACAATGAATAGCCTCATCGAATAAATAAGCTTAAAATAGAATAATTAATCAATTTACAAGAAATGGTATAATTTTTTGTTAGCTCATTTATAACATGCACAAAGTTTCGGTTAGAGTGATAAATGATCTCAATTTTAATAAGAGTGAAAATATAAATTTAATTAATAAAAATCACATTTACAAATAAAAATATTTATATTTTATGTACCGAGATATATAATAAAATTAAAATACTAATAACATGGAAAGGTTATTGTATGTGTCTGTATAAAGCAAGCCAATGGTAGAGTCATATCTATGTAGTACGAAGTACCTAAATGTCTTGTCACCTCTTAATAAGCTTTCTATTTTTACCGTTTCAGTAATTCATATATGTATGCAAATGCAGGAGGTTAAAATATCACTAATTTAAAATTTTATTGGCCAAGATTTAAGTCGCCGGTAACATTAAAAAGGATTTTTTTTTTCTTTTAGGAGGGGGCAAATTGTCTTTTTTTTTTTTTATATCACATCCCAAGTTATAAAATAGTTATAAAAAAAAGATTTATTTACACTCGGTAAATCTAATAATGATAATCAGTAAAATAAGATTTTTTACCCAAAAACTGAACAAAATAATAATAATTTTGTCTATTTACAAGTTATAATGCGGAATGAATATACATCCAATATAAGTATGTAATGAAATATCAAATCTGCATGTTGATTGGACTTTTGCATGGGTAAATTTTTGGAACAGCAATCATGCGAAGTCCTGGGGGGTGTTTTGGTCCTTTATTATTAATTCTGATTTTCTCTTTTATTATTGAAAAATCAGAAAAAAAAAAAGAAAAAAAAAAGCTGAAAGCCTGAAAGGATACTCGTTCCTGTATATATACGTAGATAAGGTAGTGGGGATGAATACATGAAACATGGAGGATGTCAACTAATTAATTAAAAGCAGAATTAACTACATTTCATTAATTAATTAATTATAGTACAAGATAAGGACTAGCATTAAAAATTTCAAAAATCAATGGGCAGTTGAGAGAGATACAGAAAAATAATATATGATTATGAATTGTCATACGTAAGAGTAATTAAATTACTTGTTAATAGACAGATTAGGAGCAAATGAATTCTTTTTTTTTATATATATATAAATCACCAGTATTCGAACCGTCGCCTAATCTGATTCGAGATTTAATTATAATTAAAGTTATTCTCTCCTACCTGCATGTGTGTTTAGCATATTCAGTCTGCATTACCAATCGGAACAATCTATACACCAAATTAATTATAAACAGTAAATAATAATATTTAAAAAAAATGATGTGACGTATGTCTCGTTCTCCGGGTACAGGCAAACAGTATCATTCTTTATACTGGAATTCAAAACGGTCAAATTTGGTCTTTGGAGTCTTGGCATGTATATAATATATAGAGAGAGAGAGGCATTCTAATAATTTTCGGACTTTGTTACTATTAATCTAAAAAGCCACCAATTAAATTAATGGTCTGACGTCTCATACTTGATTTAAATATAAAAAGGAAACAAAAAGAAGACAGAAGTAGGAATAATCAAAGACTAAAAACTATATATTATTTTTTAAAAATATTAATTACTGATGGATTCTATTATTATATCTTTTTCAAATAAATACTAAACACAGCCTGCTCTCATCTATCATTAATTATAAATGGACATAAAATAAAATAAAAAGACTACAAAACAACAGCTAAAAAAATAATTTTCTTTTTGGCTTGTCCAGGCATTATTAAACACAGACATAGAAGAACAAAAAAGTATGAGCCCTATAAATCTTTCCCCGCTAATTTATAAGAGGGCCATTGCAAATTAACTTTCCTCTTCCCAAAATGGTAAAATGACCACAAAACCCTATTTTTCTATCTGAAAACTTTGTTTGGGTATTTAATTAAAAGGAGTTTTTGGAAATTGCATATTAATATACTCTATTTGTTTTAAAATGGTTTTTTATCCCAAAATATAAAATTTATTGGTTATGAAATTAATTAAAATTCTCAAAAAAATTTTAATACTTAAATTTAATTAATTAATAATAACTATTAATTAATAAATAAAAAAACATTTACACTCTACGCACTACCATTCGAGAGAATATCAGACCTTTTATATGGTAAAATTTCTGAAACTTGCACATGGATTGTGATTTTACGAGAGATCAACTTCGAATGACTCAAATGAAAGGTTGAATCATGTTTTACACTGAGAAATTAAAGGGAAAAAGAAAGAGGTTAGAGGTACTCATTTCATCATCAAATCAGAAAAAAAGCTCTGTTAGTGAAATGATTAACAAGGAAAAAGCATAAGAAAAGCCGTAAAAAAAAACTAGATAGATGTTCCTTGGGCACGCATGCATTGCATTAAGACACTTAAATTAGACATAATTAAATATATAATATTCATCAGAAAATGGTACGTGGCAGCTTTTGCAACAAAGCACCCAATTTTTTTCTTCTATAATCATATCTAAGGTTGAATTATAGTTTAAAAAGTTCTAAGCTTTCTAGCTATCTCTTTGCTTCAATTTATCAGTATACATCATGTAATTTTCTAAAAATTAGAAAAAAAAAATATAAAAAATTATTTTTTAAAACGTCTTCATGATTTTAAAAATATAAATTTTTATATTAATCGAACTTATTATTTATAAATTGCCTTCAATGATATTAGACCTCGATTGACGAAAAAAAAAATTACGAGCATTCTCGATTTGAAAATTTTGAACTTCACAAAAATCGTTTCTTGAATTTAAATATATTCACTACAAAAAAAACTTCAAATTGCGACCGATTTTTGCGACCGACAAAAGTCGGTCGCAATATGGATACCAATTTGCGACTGATTGGTAAATAGAATTAAATATATTCACTACAAAAAAAACTTTCAAATTGCGACGCTGATTTTTTTTGCGACCCGACAAAAGTCGTCGCCAATATGGATAGGACAATTTGCGACTGTTGGTAAAACAGTCGCAGAATTTTTAGCGCCGGAAAACTCGCGCGGATTTACCTTTCAGTTGCCTTTCAGTTTGCGACTGAATTACTGCGGATTTGCGACCGATTTTGCGACCGCTTTGCGACCAACTTTGTTTCTGTCGCAAAAATGGGCGCGTAAAAAAAAGGGACACAATCTGAGACCGAAATGAGATAAAATTGCGACTGATTTTTTGCGACCGCATATTTCAGTCGCAGATCGGTCGCAATTTTGGCGCATATTAAAACGATGTCGGACAATTAAAATTTGCGACCGATTTAAATGACATTTGCGACCGATGAGTCGGTCGCAAATATTAGGGCTTTAAACGCGCCCTCTTCTTTTCCTTTCGCCTTCTTCTTTTCGCTTTTTTCTTCCTTCTCTCTTCTCTTCTCCTCTCCTCTCTTCTCCTCTCGTCGCAGCGCGCCTCCCCACCTCACCTGAGAACGCTCCGCAGCCACTGTGAGAATGCCTGATTGACGCCGCACCGTGACGCTCCAGTCACTCCTCTACGGCGTTCGCCCAGGCCGTTTGGACAGCAATTTGAAGTAAGCGGTGACGGCATTTTTATTTTTTTCACATTTTTTTTTTTTTTTTTTTGCGATTTTTTTGTGTTTTTTTCTCAATTTATTATTATCGTTACTGTATTACTGTTAATATTATTAATAATTGTTTAATATTGGTTAATGTGTTACTGGTATTATTTTTTCGAAATTTTTTTTTTGCGATTTTTGTGTTTTTTTCAATTTTAATTATTATTGTTACTTGGTTATATTGTTAATATTAATTAAATATTGTTAAGTATTGTTAAAATGTGTTACTGTTATTAATTTTTCAATTTATTTATTATTGTTAATATTATTATTCGATTTACATTATATTCGTTTCGATTTATTATTATTGTTACAGTGACTGTATTATAATTAATAACAATTAAATCAGAATAATGGATTTATAATAATAAGATTAACTTAAAA